CTGGACCAGGAGTTGGGATTTTAATTCTGCATTTTCTTTTAATAAAGAATGCTCTTCGGAGATGCTTTACCATAAGTGAGGTGGTTCTTCGCACCCTTCTGTGCCTTGTTAATGTAAAAGGTCGTGTTCGTGTAACATCTGAAGACATTAAACTTCCAGTGTTCCAAGTTCATTTATTATTTTTTTTATGTTCAGTTTATGATCATGTTGCAGGGATGTTTCTAAGTGTTTATAGGTGTCTTTGTTGACATGTTTAGAGGTATTTATGTCGCCGGTTAAAAAAAAACTATTAGTATTAAAAATTTAAAAAGCCCCTTTAAATATTGGGGCAGTTATTACTGGTTTTTTGTTACGTAAATTAAAAAGTACTGTTGCCATGGTATTCATATATACGTCGTATACACATGATAGTTCTGTGGAGATTCTAAAGGTACTGAGACAGTTTGGGCGGGAGACGGATACGCTGTTAATGGAGACAAGACAAAAAATAGTACAAAGTAGCAACTGAAGTGCTTACTGAAGCATACACACCAGGTACTAGGGAAATTGAGGGGTGGGAGAGATTGCGTTTTCTTGACTCTTTAGGAAATCTTTTTGGGAGTTGCTTAAAAGGATGTATGAAACAGCATGGCAAACAGCATGGTATGTGCAGCTGTATTACTAGAGTGTAAGTGGGCTCAGGAACTGATATGCAGTGATGCTTGCTGGAGACAAAGTAGGTTCCAGGTAATGTAGGTGCTGGAGAGACATTGTATTTTTTATTTAGCACTTTCTGCTAAGCCTAATTGCTCATAATGCAGCTGAAGCAAGACTGAAACATGTAAGTAAACCTTTACTTACTAAATGTAAATTGGTTCTAAATATTAGAAGTGATGGGTAACTCTCCATAAATATGGTAGTCATTAATCACAGAATACTTAAAACCTAGTTCACTCCCAGACATGAGTATTAAAGAAGTTCTAGACTAAGTATCTTAAAAGACTCCACTGATCAAGTTGACAAAATACTCAAGGGTTAAATCAAAATTGTTTTTCATCTAACCTCAAGTAAGCATGATATATATTGATAAAAATAAAAAAATAGAATGTCAGTATACATGTCCTGAGAATACTTGATTACTATGCACAATTCCATCGAAGGGTACACCTCTCCAAGATATAAAACTTGAAAAATAATTTCCCTTTTATATATTACTAAATGTTTACTAAATACTAAAAAAGAAACCACGGAGAATAAGATACAGACAATTCAGCCTACATATACTAGGCTTTCCTCTCCAGGCTCCTAGGCTCTGTCCCATTTTAAGACCTGGTATATTTTTTTTATTTTTTTTATTTTTTAAATATGGAGAATTTATATGAACAAAAATCATTTGAAATTGGGAAGTGCCAAACCGGAAGTGGTAAGGAGCACTCCCAAGACCCGGTGTGTGTGTGTGTGTGTGTGTGTGTGTGTGTGTGTGTGTGTGTGTGTATGGTTTTTTGGTTTTTTTTTAAGCTGAGCCATCCTGCCACCTGTTGGCAGCTCAGCTCAGGCCCGACTCGAACCGCTGTTGCTCAGAGCTCAAACCTTTGAGCGAGCTCTTAACCAACTGAGCCACTCGGCCGGCCCAACCTGGTATATTGTTATATGCTGAGCACCATTTAGCACCCATCTCTATCTTGCTCAAAGTCTGTATCCCAAGAAGAATGACCAAAGTTGAAATGGAGGTTTTAAGTTTTACCAGCTTAAGATCAAATAGTGGTTTCCTTTTAGATGTCCTCTCCCTTTATTTATATGATTGGCTTTGGAATGACTACCTCCCTTCCCCCATCAAGGGTCACAGACCATAACCATTTGCAGGAAGTTTCCCTGTTTAAATAGAGCAAAGACTAGCAGATGGTCCTTGGGTACAGTGACTCCTCCAGATTTGTCCAATTAACTGGTATTATAAATCTCAGAGTTGCAGTCTTAGATTTGTGAGCTATCATATAGTTGTAGTTGAAACTATGAAAATGGATAAGATTAAAAGGAGAATATATATTTTTAAAGTGTCTGGAATATAATTTGTTAATAAATGTAGAATTTGTGGATGGGTGGATGGATGGATTGACTAAATGAATACTGGCAGCTTCTCAGGTAATTATTAATTTTGCAATTCTTGTTTCAGGCTGAACTCTAATTCTGCCTTAGCTCATTTTAGACCATTTGACCCTAAATCTCTTTTGATCCCTTTTTAAAGGGAAAGTTTTATTATTATTATTATTATTATTATTATTATTATTATTTATGGTCACCAGTTTACATTTGGGTAAAATAAAGACCTAAGAAAATGAGGAGGCATACTAAAAATAGTTTTTATCAAACTTGCTTGTGAATTATGAGTGAATCAGTCTCCTTTTTAAACTTGTAATTTACTACCAAATTACAGGCAAAAAGTACTCTTAAGTTTTTAGCATGACTAATATGTAAAGGGGAAATTATTTTTCAAGTTTTATGTCTTTGAGAGATGTACCCTTCAATGAAACTTTGTATTATATTGTTTTGTTTTTATTAATATATATCATGCTTATTGAGGTTAGATGAAAAACAATTTTGATTTAACCCTAGAGTATTTTGTCAATTTAATTAGTTGATTCTTTTAAGATACTTGGTCTAGAACTCCTTTAGTACTCATGTTTGGGAGTGGAATAAGTTTTAAGTATTCTGTGATTAATGACTACCATATTTATGGAGAGTTACCCATCACTTCTAAAATTTAGAACCCATTTACCAAATTATGTGTAATTGTGAATTGTATTATACAGAGGGTGCCAAAAAATGTGTACACATTTTAAGAAAGGAAAGAACTGTATTAAAATTGTAAATCTCAATATATACTGATAACAAAAGATGAATACAAATCATGTGTATATATTTTTTTGGCACCCCCGGTATTCATTGATATTTGATAAATCTAGTTATTCTTTCTGTGTTGTTGTGAGATAGAGTGCTATATTGTGGTTAATATTTAAGGGTGAAAATTCTCCATGAGAAAGCCAGAATAATTAAGGCTAGAACAATGGATTTGAGATAAATTCTTGAGACCCAGATTCTTTGCTATTCTTCAGTCCAACTAGCTCAAGGCTTGAACCTAGAATTTGCCATCTTTTAGAATAGAAGGACTGATAAATGCTATTGAATTTAAGAAGTATCACTATGCTAACACGATAATTACATATTTGATCTGAGAGATGCTTTTAAAATTGTTGCTTAAAGTGTTGTAATGTTGTAAAGGAATCATTATTAGATTTTTGAAGTGTACATTTTTATTTTGTATTTTGAAATAGTTGGACTTAAGATTCTTGTAGAATATATACACTACAGAAAACTTTTCTACTATTGTGTGTTAACTGCCTCTTTTTTTTCAGAAGCAGAAATACATATTTTTAAATCATTGATTGGCTTTAGTGATGTCACATTTCTGTGAACTGGTAACGGGTAATGTAGAGAGAGGCTGAGGCAGAGTTCAGGGTAAATGGTATTTTTTAAGAAGCGGTATAATCAGGTGTATTTAATACATGTTAATGAACGATAGATAACAATTTGGAAAGAGTATGTATATAGATTATAACTATTAAAAAAAGATTTGGGATGGGGAATAGATATAAAAGGTTTTTTTTCTATGTAGAAAGGGCCTAAAAAGGGAAGATATGCTACAGAGGTTTTGGGCTGAACCCTACAAAGAATCTAACCTAATTAGACTTCTCATTGTTCTTTAAAAGGGCTTTTTTCTTTTCTCCCCTGTGTTTCTTTTTATTGTGTGATCGAGTGACATCTGGGTTTTTGGTAACAGAAAAGGATAACCCCATTGGGTGAGGATGAAAGATGAAATACAGAAGCAATTGCAAAAGCCTAGGCTGTTTTGTGTAGAAGACCTGCTAAGGAGTAATGTGGAAAGGCAACGGATACAGGATCATGGTCATTGAAGGAGGAATAATAGAAATAGTTACCTTTATTGAGTACCTACCTGCCTTGCATGTTCCAAGCATTATTCCCATTACAGATAAGAGAAGGGATCCACAGAGGTAGGATAGAGGGTTTCAGATTCCAAACCCAAAGCTCTATCGTGGTTTTCAATTTTTTTTTTAAAGCTGCAGATCCATTTTTTTTTAATTAAGAGATTTTATTGCTCGTTACAGATGCATGGGCAGGGTTAACAGAATTATTGGGACATGGTGAGGCACCCAGCAAATAAATAGTGGGTGACTTTTGCCACGTCTTAAGTCTGAAGGGTTGCAGATCTTTTATTTTTTTTGTAGAGAAATCTTATATGGAACCTAGTGTGCTCTATAGATAAAACCTAAATTGGTTGAAATCAGGATAAGAGCACCTGAACTCAGCTTCTTTCTTTGGCCTTCTTTGCTCTTATTCTCATCCTCAGAAGTTCTGAGGCACCTTGTAGAACCCCAGTTTGAAAATCAATGCATTTCACCATACTGCTGTTTTTCATCACTTGATGATAGTGTTGGAAAGTTGCCAGAAAAATATTCTAGGATACCTTCTGTTTGGTATCCTGTTTCATGAAAAGGGTGCTAATAATGTTTACACATAAACTTATACTTACGTTTGTGTCTTAGTCTGTTTAGACAGCTATCACAAAAATACCATAGACAGGGTGGCTTAAAAAACATTTTTCTCACAGTTGTGGAGGCTGGGAAGGTCAAGATCAAGGTGTCACAGATGAGGGCATGTTTCCTGGTTCATACTCTTCTCACTATAACCTCACATGATGGAAAGATCAAGGGATCTTTCTGTGGCTTCTTTTATACGGGCACCAATCCTATTCATGAAACGCCACTCATAACCTAATCACCCCTCAAAGACCCTACTTGCAAATACCATTAGGTTGGGTATTAGGTTTCAACATACGGATTTTTTTTGTGGGGGGGGGACACACAAACATTCACTATATAAGCAATTTGTAATCAACACTTTTTATCAAAAGTACATTTAAAAAAAGTTAAGTTTCTTTGTTTCAGGTTGCAGCAGCATTACCTGAAGATATGACACCAGGTCCTAATCCCTATGGTTTTCCAGGGGAATTGCTGATATGTGCAGCTACTGTTGGATTTTTTGCTTTTTTCTTGTTTTTGTGGAGAAGTTTTCGATCGGTAAGTAACTAATACTATGTGCTAAGGGAATGTTCATTTTGTCTTCAGGTCGAACAAGTGATACGAGAAACGTATCTTTTAAGGAAACAAGTTAGGTTGTAATTATGTGGGTTACTGATGTTAATATGTGGCTATTAGAAACAGATGGATTTAGAGGAATTTTTTTAAGTGTAAAAATTTTAAAGGAATTTTTTTGTAGATGTAGTCTACATTAATACTAAAACCCTACCATCATTCATTCACTCATTTATTTTTGGTTTGTGCTTGTGTTTAGCAACATTCTAAACATCTGTGAATATACCACCCAACCTAGAAATGTGAACACTGTCTATCCCTTATATTTAGGCGATTCCTCCCTCATTTCATCCCCTTGCCTCCCTGTAGTAGAGGTGACCCTGTTCTGGATCTTGTGTTGATTATATTACCATGTCTTAAAAGAATTATTTTTGGTCATATTTGCATATATTCCTCAAAAGTATAGTAATGTGATTTTACTTGATATTATGCCCTATGTCCTGTTTTGGAACTTTTTTACTCAATCTTATATTGCTAAGATGCATCCATATTTTTGGATGAAGCTTTAATTTTTTCTGTTTTTATTGCTTTAGAATATTCTAGGACTACGCTAAAGTTTATTTATAGATTTTATGGTCTTGGACATCTGGGTTGTTTCTAGGTTTCTTTCTGTTTTAATTAGTGCTACTGTATATATTCTTATACATATCTCCTATACATTTTTAAGTTTCTCTTGGGAATATACTTAGTTGTGTGATTACTAGGTTATAGGGTCTTTGGAGGTTCGTTCTCCTATTAAAAGATAATGCCAAATTCTTTTCCAAATTGTCTATCAGTTTACACCCTTACCAGCAATGTATAGGAGGTCCTGGAGATCCATTTGATTTCTGTCCCCTCCAACAACTTGTTATTTTGCCACTTGAATGGGTATAAATGGTATCTTAATGTGGTCTTGATTTGAATTCCTCCATCAGTAATGAGACTGAAAACTTTTACTAAATTTACTGGCCATATGTATTTGTTATTTTAGGAAATAATTGTTTATTTCTTTTGCCCATTTTTCTGTTGAGTAGTTTGTTGTTTTTTATTTGTAGGCGTTCTTTATGTATTCTTTATTTTTTAATTTTTTATTTTTACTGGGGAATTGGGGAAGGGGAACAGCCAAGTTGTTGTCCTTCAGTCTTAGTTGTGGAGGGTGCAGCTAGCTCAGCTCCAAGTCCAGTCACCATCCAGCCGCCTGTTGGCAGCTTGTGGCTGCTCACCTCAAGGTGCTGTGTTCAATCTTAGTTGTGAGTGGGTGTAGCCCACCATCCTATGTGGGAGTCGAACTGGAAACCTTGTTGCTAAGAGCACAGGCTCTAACCATTGAGCCATCCTGCCGCCTGTTGGCAGCTCAGCGGCAGCTCAGCTCCCTGGCCCATATGGGAATCAAACTGGCGACCCTGTTGCTCAGAACTCATGCTCTTAACCAACTGAGCCACTTGGCCGGCCCTCTTTATATAGTCTTAATGCTGTCTTTGTTGATTATGTGTAGGGTAAATGTCCCAGTAGGAAACATCTTTTTGTTTTCCTTCAGATGTTTTATGATGAACAGATACTCTTAATTTAAAAAATTTGCATTTAAACATTTAAGTCCTTGATTTATTTGAATCCTCTTTTTGTCTGATATGGGATAGGGATTCAGTGTAATATTTTTCCCTAAGATATAACCATTTTTTCACTTTCATTTATTGAATAGTCCCTCTTTTCCCTATTCACCTGTTATGCCATATGTTAGAGTTCTGCATGCATATAGAGCTTTTCTGCACTCTTAATTCTATTTCATTGATTATTGTTGACAGCAGATACATGGATACCATTCTGTATCCAACCCTTAGGTCACATTTACCAAGTGACTAATTTGTGTTCATGTATTATATGTTCTTGCTCTTTTTTGTTTGTTTTCTTTGTCTATCAAGAATGAAGAGAAATGGGTTGAATCCCATTGTCATGATAGATTTATCACTGTCTGTAATTCTGTCAGTTCTTTACATATTTTGAGGATATTTTGTTAGGTGGATACATGTTTAGAATTGTTATGTTTCTTGGTAAATTGAACCTTTTATCAATGTCTAGTGACACTTTATTACTCTAGTGATGCTTTGGTCTTAAGGTATCTTATCTGATGTTAACATAGCCATACCAACTTTCTTTTGGGTGATATTTGATATTTCTTTTTTCATCCTTATACTTTTCAGCCTTTCTTTCATCTTTTACTTAACATGTGCCCTGTATGATTTCTTTTATATCTCATTTAACAACCTCTGTATTTTCACTGTTGAGTTGATTGACATATATTATGATTGGTGATGTATTTGGATTAGTTTCTTCCAGCTTAGTTTATTAATTTGTTTTACTTTCTACGTTTCTACTAATTTCTTTTTACATTGGTAAGTACATTTTTCTGCTAAGAAAATAAGGACCATAGCATACTGTTACATTCTTTGGTCTCTCACTTTCTAACTCCCATGATGCTGTTATAATAGAAAATTTTAGTTTTAGATATATTTCTCTTTTTCTTTTCTTTGTTCTTAACTTTCTCCTCCACCCCTTACCCATCCCTCAAGACTACAAAGATAAATTACCAATATATTTGATTACCCTTAGTTCACATATCTCTTGCAATATCTCCTAGATTTAATTATTCCCATATTTGAATACTTCTTTCAATATTGTTTTAGTGTGGATCTTTGTGTGGCAAAGCTTCTGAGACTTTATTTTGAATGCTTGAGGATATTTGAATTAAGTCCTCACACTGAAATAATTTGTTCGATACAACCATTATAGGTCTAAAGTTCCATCCTTATCATACTTAAAAACCCGTTCTTCCTTGTCTTTCTACATCTAATGATGCATATTGAAAAGTCTTAATGTCAGTTCTGATTCTTATTCATTTGTAAATGATCTGTTCTCTGTAGAAGCTTTTAGAATCTTTTAATTTGATAGTCTTATTTCAATATAATGTTTCTACATTTGAAAAATCTTTTTCTTATTTCTCCTTTAGAATTTTCTGGAATCTCTTACTATGAGGTCTTTCATAATTTTTTAATTCTGGTAAAATTCTTCTGTATTTTACATTTTTATTTCTCTTTTTGGGACTAGCATGTTTTAGATGTTGTTCTTTATACTTAAGACTTCTAGATCTCTTAATTTTTTTCCAATTTTTTTGTAGTTTCCTGTTACCTTTTGAGATAGTTCCTCGCTCTGATGTTTCATTTAAATAATTTATTCCTCATCTTTACCTGTTATACTGTATCTTGACTTTTAAATTTTGCCTCTTTTAATTTTATCCCTATAAATCTTCTGTAGGTGATTTAAGTCTCCATTGTTTTTTATGCTTATATTGCCTCAACCCTAAGTCCGACCCTCTTACAAATGCAATTTTTCCCTCATTATCTGAGAGAGAGAGGTTAAAGAAGAAAAAAAACCTTATGTTTACTGTTTCTTTATATTCATTTCAGACGCATGGCCTTGTGGTAACATTTTTGAAATTGTGTTATTTTGGATATTAGAGCACTAGGGGAAATGATAATAGGGGCTTCCTGAAATAGTTTGTTTTAGGGTCAAATATGTTTGAGGAACAATGGGATAAATGAATTTAAATAGGTATTTTTAAGATAGTCATTTCAGTCTTTAATATGCTAATATACAAGTGAACCTTCAATAGGGAGATTTTAATATGTAGCATTTATCTCATTGGACACAGAACGCTAGGCTAATTTATATTCATAATAAGTCAATGAAAAAAGTGTTATTTTTACGTGGGCAGTATAAGTTAAATAAATTATGTTTACTTAAATGTCTGTTTTAATGTAATTTTGTTAAAATTTGTTTCAGATTCGAAGCCGGCTTTATGTGGGTAAGCTCTTTTTTTCTATTTTAGATCTCACCTTTGTTGTTTATAATGCTAAAACTTAAAACAATTTACACATGATAATATTAAGTTCAAAAAAATTTATTGGGGTAACATTGGTTAATAACATAATATAATTTTTAGGTGTACAAGATTGTAATTTGACATACATGTACTGTTTTGTGTGCTCACCACCCAAAGTCTGTAGTCTCCTTCCATTACCATATATTTGACCCCCTTTACCCTCTTTGCCCTCTCCCTATCCTCTTTCGCCACTGGTAACCACCATTCTGTTATCTTAGTGAGTTTTTTTTGTTGTTGTTGTTGATTCATTTGTTACTTTTTGTTTTAAATTACACATATGAGTGAAATTGTACTGTTTGTCCTTTTCATTCTGGCTTGTTTCACTTAGCATAGTACTCTCAAGATCCATCCATGTTGTCCTGGATGGCAGTATTTCCTCTTATGGCCGTGTGGTATTCCATTGTATATATGTACCACATCTTCTTTAACCAATCATCTGTCAGTGGACACTTAGGTTGGTTCCATGTCTTGGCTATTGTAAATAATGCTGCAATGAACATAGGGGTTCATATGTCTTTGTGAATAAGTGTTTTCATATTTTAACTTTTTTTTATTTTTAGGAAGAGAGAAAAAGCTTGCTGTAGAACTTTCTACACTAATTGAAGAAAAATGTAAACTACTTGAAAAATTTAGCCTTGTTCAAAAAGAGGTAAGACATGTTTGACAATGTTAACATTCATGTTAGATTCAGAGGACTTTATGCTTTTCAGTGCAGGTACTTCTATGTCATTTGAAGATTATTAATGCTTTGTTTGCTAAGTATGAGAGTTCAGTTACTCCTCATATTACCAATCTTACTAATTTTTACCATATGGTAGGTAGGTGCATAGTGGTGTCTTATGGTTTCAGTTTGCGTTTTCCTGACTAATGAGGTTAACCCTCCATCAGGCGCAATGCAAAAGTTATGAGTTCGGGTGCAATGTATCTACTGGATGCGTGTATGACATTTATTTATTTAAATTTAAAATGAATGAAAATAACGTGTAAGAATGCTTATTATTTATTCAGAATGAAATTTTAATTTACCACAAAGTAAAAACAATATATGTTTATTGTATAAATTCAGTATAAGCTTTGCCTATTGCTGTGTAGTACACCTGCCAGATATAGCTGCCCTATAAATGCGATCATTTCGACATAGTCTGTACATTTTGCATCTTTCTCACTAGAGTATTGTGACCAAATTTTTACAATACACTCATTTGTATGCTGAACGATGATGTCCAATGTTCTTTATTTATGAAACAGTTCCAACATTTGAGATTAGTTTTGGCCTGATTTGCAGATCCCACGACACCTGGTGAACACACTAAAGTATTTTGTGGTCTGTTTTTTACACGCTGTTACAATTTAGTTTTTTTCCATTTGGTTATTTTATTTTTCCCAATAAAATAGTCATCTATTTCTTCGTTACTATTGTACTTTCTTGATCACTTTCTGAAGGAGAGTTTTCTTGCTCAGTGTCAGAATTTAGGTCTTGTTCTTCAACTTGATCTTCACCATCTGTGTCACTTTCATCTTCAAATTCAAGTTCATTTTCATCATTATCAGACTCCATCAACATCTGTAGCAATGTCTCAGCATCTTTCGGGTCATCTGGATTATAAAATATTTGAGGTTGAGCCATTTTAGAAGGTAAAGCCTACAGAGGACAAATATTACCCTAAACAGGTGCAAATGAATTTGTCAGATTAATTAGAAAATAAAATACCTAGTTACTAAGTTAAATAATAAAGCTATACTTACAATCTCTTTCTGGAATGTCTGAAAGGATAGTACTATACAAAAAAATCTGTTGAGAAAATATAAAAAATATCTCAAGTAGGCACAACAAATCTGTGAGATTAAAGATGCTGCTAATGAAATATGCCTTTACTGCACTAAGTCACAAACACGACTGGCGATAAGTTACGGTAGAGGGGGAAGACACAGAAGTGATGAGTCGCAATACTTAAGTTAACTGTTAGATATTTGAAAATTTGTGTGCAATGAATCCGTGAGATCACTTGCGCCCGACAGAGGGTTAAGTATCTTTTCATATGTTTATTGGCCATTTGGATATCCTTTTTGTGAAATTGCCTATAAAAAAAAAACATTTTTAAAAGTATGGTTATCTATCTTTTTTGTTTTTTGATATGTATGAATTTTTTTCTATATTTTGGATATGAGTCCTTTGCCAGGCACATGTATTGCAAATATCTTCTACTCTGTGTTTGCCTTTTTATTTCAAATGGTGTCTTGGTAAGCAGAAGTTCTTAATTTTAACATAGTCAAATTTGTTAGTCTTTTCTTTATGATGACTGCGTTTTGTTTCCTACTTGAGAAATTTTTGTCTTCTCAAGGATATGAAGATATTCTTCTGTGTTATCATTTAGAAACTTTATTTTACTTTTCTCATTTTGTCTTTATATTAGTTTGCTAGGACTTCCATAACAAAATACTATAGACTTGGTTTGCACAACAGAAATTAATTTTTTCATAGTTCTGGAGGTTAGAAGGTTAGGACCGAGGTGTTGACAGGTTTGGTTTCTTCTGACGCCTCTCTCCATGGCTTGAAGATGGCCGCCCTCTTTCCCTGTCCTCACATGGTCTTTCCTCTGTGCCTGTGCCAGTTTCTGGTATCTCTCGCTGTCCAAGTTTTCTCTTCCTATAAGGATATTCGTCAGATTGGATTAGGACCCACTCTAACAGCTTCAGTTTAATAACTTAATCACCTCTTTAAAGGGCCTATCACCAAATACAGTCAAATTCATATGGGAAGTTGGGCTTCAACATAAGAATTTTGCGGGGGTGAATTATTCAGCCCAAATTTAATTAGTCTTTAATCTATCTGGAATTGAATCTGTAATGGTATGATTTGGAGGTCAAGATTCAGTGTTTTTTATATGGATATTGAATTAACCAGTACTATTTATTGAAAAGACCATCTTTTCCCTTTGTTCTGTAGTGTCAATTTAAATCATGTTAACTGCATATAGCTGAGTCTCTTTATCTTTTGTCCTGTTGGTCTATTTTTTTATTCTCATGTCAACCATGCTTTTTTTTTTTTTCCCATCTATTTTATAACAACTCTTGATATCTGATAGTGTTGGTTCTCGAAGTTTGTTCTTCAAGGTTGTCTTGGCTATCTTGGCATTTGCCTGTTAATATAAATTTTAAATCATTTTATCAATTTACACATGTGTATAGCCTGCTAGGAGTTTGATTGGGACTGCATTGAATGTATAGATCAATTTGGAGAGAATTGACACTTTTACAATGTTGAGTTCTCCCTGGACTAAGTCACCTATGTCTTAAAATTCTCTCAGTGTCATTTTATACATTTTTGAGTTGAAGTCTTGCATACCTTTTCTTAGATTTATTCTCCGGCATCTGATGATTTTTATAGTGTAGTGTTTTTTTATAGCTTTATTGGGATATTACTCACATACTATACAATTCATTCATTTAAAGTGTAAAAATGAGTGGCTTTTATTATATTCACAGTTATGTGTATATATCCATTACCACAATCAATTTTGTACATTTTTATTACCCCAAAAATAAAATGCTGTACCCTTAGCTACCACCCTTCACCAATCTCCTCCATTCCAAAGCCCTAGACACTTAATCTACTTTTTGTTTCTATAAATTTGCCTATTCTGGATTCCATTTCACATAAATGCAATCATATAATATGTGGTCCTTTGTGACTCGCTTGTTTTTCATTTACATGTCTTCAAGGTTCATCCAGCTTATAGCATCTATCAGTATTTAATTAATTTTTTTGCCAAATAATATTTCACATCACATTTTATATATCCATTTGTCAGTTGATAGACATTTGGGTTAGTCTTCTTTTGGCTACTATAAATGCTGCTGCTATGTGTAAGTTTTTGTGTGGATATGTTTTCAGTCTTTTGGATATATGCCTAGGAGTGGAATTGCTGGGTGTATATTTAACTTTTAAAGAACTACCAAATTGTTTCCCACGGTGACTACGCCAGTTTACATACCCACCAGCAGTTTATGAGGGTTCCAATTTCTCCACATCCTTCCATTTGTTATTATCTTTTTTTTTTGTTTTTTTTGTTTTTGTTTTTGTTTTTAGCTGAGCTATCCTGCTACCTGTTGGCAGCTCAGCGGCTGCTCAGCTCGGGCTGGACTTGAACCGCTGTTGCTCAGAGCTCAAACTTTTGAGCGAGCTCTTAACCAACTGAGCCACTCGGCCGGCCCTTTTTTTTTTTTTTTAACTTTATTGGAGAACACTGTGTTTTTCCAGGACCCATCAGCTCCAAGTCAAGTTGTTGTCCTTCAGTCTTAGTTGTGGAGGGTGTAAGCTCAGCTCCAAGTCCAGTGAGGCGACCCAAGCGCCAAATGAGCGCTCCTGACTCATCAGCCAGGAGCATACCTGGCAGGATTGGGTGGGAGACAAAGAAAGAAAGAGACAGAGACAAAAGCTGGGAACAGGAGGGACTCAGACTGCTGGCAGACTGAGACCTCATTTATTGGCTATACACTGGTTATATAGGAAATAATTTTTCCTTATCAGGGAGCAATTCCCTTATTACTAAGCAGGGAGCAATCTTTCCGAAGTGGAACAGAACAAAGTATAACAAGTAGAAACTGTTAACAGGATGACTATCCACTCTGTAACTTTTATGGTTGTCTGTGATGTTAGCTGCTCTTCCGGGGCACAGTGGAGATGGGTCAGCAACCTTCCCACGCTTTTCCCCAAGGCCTAAGAGCCTGTCAGCTTGCCAGCTGTCAGGCTTAAGCCTTACTGTAGCTCTGGTCTGTAACTTGTCAGCTGCTCTCGAACTGCTCACTCTAACATGGAGGCCTGTAGCTTGCCAGCTTACAGCCTCAGTGTCCCTGGCTGATCCCAGCCAGCTCCCCACAGTCCAGTTGCCATTTTCTTTTCCTTTTTTTTTTTTTTTTAAGATTTTATTGGGGAATCGGGGTGGGGGGAACAGTGTTAGGGAATCGGGGAAGGGGAACAGACAAGTTGCTGTTCTTTTGTTCTTTAGTCTAGTTATGGAGGACATCGCTTCACTGGCCCATGTTGGTATTATCACTGTGCTCTTTCCGGGTGAGGCAGTCGCTCCCCGGCAATTGGACAGCAGCTCACGGTGGCTGCTGGCCACTCACAGTAGCTCACGGCAGCCCACTGCAGCAGGGGCTGCAGCCTACGCCATCATCGGCAACTCAGGGCAGCCCAGCTCCAGGTCGAGCTGTTGTTCAGCATCTTAGCTGTAGAGGGCAGCGTCACTGGCCCTCATGTGGGATCCAAACCGGGGCCCTGCTGCTCAGAGCTGGTGTTCTAAGCCAGTGCTTAACCAACGCGCCAATCGGCCGGCCTCAGTCACCGTTTTCAATCTAGTTGCGACCACCATCCCATGCGGGAGTCGAACTGGCAACCTTGTTGTTAAGAGCACGCGCTCTAACCAACTGAGCCATCCGGCCACCCACCAGCAGTTCAGAGGTAGCTCAGCTCAAGTTGTTGTCTTCAATCTAGTTGCGGAGGGTGCAGCTCACTGGCTCATGTGGGAATCAAACTGGCAACTCTGTTGCTCAGAGCTTGCACTCTAACCAACTGAGCCACCCAGCCGCCCCTATTGTCTCTCTTTTTTGATGATAGCAGTGTTTGACTGAGAACTCCATTATCTGTGTCCTCTGAGACTCTTTTGTTTCTTTTGCTCACTTTTTCCCTTAGTTCTCAGTTAAATCTTGTCGCCTTGAATTCCAGGGTTTTTTTTTGTTGAGTATCGGTGATACTGTAACAAAAACCGTATGGATAATTTTGAAGCTCTGGGTGATATTATTTTTCTCCAGTGAGGATTTACTATTGCTTCTTAGAGGCAGCTGGGCTAGGGACATTTGAAATCTTATGTTACTTTAATCACAGATTGAGGTGTTTGGAAACTTGGCCTATTACAAGGATTAGTCTGTTTCTGGTTTAAACTTGCTTATAAGGTAGCCAGTGTGGGTTGGTATTAGTTTCCTGTTGCTGCTGTAACAGATTACCACAAACTTAGTGGCATAAAGCAACACAAATTTATTCAACTATATTTCTGGAGGTCAGAAGTCTAAAACCACCAGTCTCATACGGCTAAAATTAAGCTGTCAGCAGGTCTGTTTCTTTATGGAAGATCCAGGAGAGAATCTGTATTTTGCTTCTTCCGCCTTCTGGAGGCTACCCACATTCGTTGGCTAATAGCTGCATCACTTCTTCACATCATCTTATCGCCTATCTTTGATCCTTTGGCCTCTCTCTTATAAGGATCCTTGGGATTATGTTGAGCCCACCAAGATAATCCTGTGCATTCTCCCCATCTCAAGATCTTTAACTTAACCACTTTTGGAAATTTCAGGGATTGGGGCAGAATTTGGAGAGATCATTATTCATCCTACCATGTGGTCCCACGCTAAAACCTGAGCTCCGTGGCTCATCCTACTCATCAGGTCCTGAACTTCAAATTTGTCTTCTCAGCTCCCAATTCTACTAAAATCTCTGCTCAATTTCTTAGCCTATCGTTCTCTACTTTTAGGGGTAGGGGTGGGGGGAAGGAAATGTCAAATGCTGGACTTGCCTTTCTGAGGATTCCCATTTTTGTCACAGATTCTCACTATTTTGATAACTCTCTGAGGCTTTCAGACATACCCTGTTTTTTGATATTTTTATGCAGCCCTTTTTCTTATTCTTAGCAAGAAGGTGGATCCAAAATAATCTCGTGCTCCCTTTAATTACTTTCTTTTTTTTTTTTTAAAGATTTTATTGGGGAATTGGAGGAGGGCAACAGTGTTGGGGGAATTGGGGAAGGGGAACAGTGTTGGAGAAGGGAAACAGTCAAGTTGTTGTCCTTCAGTCTCAGTTGTGGAGGGCGCAGCTAGCTCAGCTCCAAGTCCAGTCGCCATCCAGCTGCCCATTGGCAGCTCGCGGCCGCTTAGCTCAAGGTGCCATGTTCAATCTTAGTTGCAGGGGTGCGCAGCCTACCATTTCATGCGGGAGCCAAACTGGCAACCTTGTTGCTAAGAGCACACACTCTCACCAGCTGAGCCATCCTGCCACCTGTTGGCAGCTCTGTGGCAGCTCAGCTTGGGTGCAGCTCGCTGGCCCATGTGGTAATCAAACTGGCGACCCTGTTGCTCAGAGCTCGCACTCTTAACCAACTGAGCCACTCGGCTGGCCCCGTGATTTATTTATTTATTTTTTAAAGCATTGAAGTAAGTGCATTTTGCTAAATCTTATAGCATTGTATGTTTCATTGTCCTTATTTTACATTGTCCTTGGTTCTCTTTATCTTTTAAACATTTTATATTCCTTACTTGCCTTAGTTGTTGTATGATTTGAATTAGAAGTGAAAATTTCTGATGGCAACTTAGTGTAAATTTCTTTTTAATGAATAGGTGGACTTCGGACAGCTCTCTCTCTCTTTCTTTTTAATTTTTTTTTAGCTGAGCCATCCTGCCACCTGTTGGCAGGTCAGCTTGGGCCGTGAATCGAACTGGCGACCCTGTTGCTCAGAGCTCACACTTTTGAGCGAGCTCTTAACCAACTGAGCCACTCGGCCGGCAGGACAGCTCTCTTAATCTTCTACTTGTTGCCCAAGCAAGCTACTCGGTTGTGATGTGTTAACTGCCCTGGCTTTGTTTGTTTTTTAGTGTTCATATTTGAAGAACTTAAAGTTAAGTAAATCCATGTAAATTTAACATACCTGTGGAAGTAGATTCTGTCTGCGTCTTAAGACACCTATCTAGATAAAATTTGGAATCAAATTTGTAGAGATTTTACTTACAGTGTTGCTTTTTTTCAGTATGAAGGCTTAGAGTCATCTTTAAAGGATTCCAACTTTGAGAAGGAGTCAACAGAAGCACAAAGTTTGGAGGTAAAAACAGTATAATTATAAAAGCTGGGGGAGGGCCAGCCGACTGGCGCGTTGGTTAAGAACTGGCTTGGGACGCCAGAGGGCCCCGGTTCGGATCCCACATATGAGGGCCAGTGACACTGCCCTCTACAGCTAAGATGCTGAACAACAGCTCAACCTGGAGCTGGGCTGCCGTGAGTCGCCTGCGATGGCGTAGGCTGCAGCGGGCTGCCATGGGCTACCGTGTGTAGCCATCAGCCAGCGTAAGTGGCCAGCAGCCACTGTGAGTGGCCGTCCAGAAGCCGGTGACTGATCTGCTTCGCCCAGGAACAGCGCAGTGATGGTGCCAACTTGGGCCAATGAAGCAACGTCCTCCACAACTAGACTGAAAAACAAAAAGGACAGCAACTTGTCTGTTCCACTTCCCCCAATTCCCTGGCGCTGTTCCCGTCCCCCAATTTCCCAATAAAAATCTTAAAAAAAAAAAAAATTATAAAGAAAATAAAAGCTGGGGGAGGATTCTTATAAAGAACATAAACTTTAAAAAAAGTTATGTGTCTTCTCCAAACTGTTTCAAAGGAAATGTGATAGAGCATCTCTGAATGTTAAACTTAAAGAAAAAGTTAAATATAGGAAATAGTAAATAGCATAAAATATTTTAAATATTTGAGCTCTTGTTGCTAACTTGTTTTGAGTGAGGCACTTTTAGTTCACTGGAATCTGGGCTATATAGGAGCTGTTTATTCTTCATTCCTGGGAAATGTATTATTTTTTGTGACCATTATTATTATTATTTTTTGATTCACTTTCCTTCAGAAAGAAAAACAGGATTTTTTTCATAAATTTAGCAATAGTTGGCAACCATAAATTATGTATATTGTGGTAGGACTTGCTTTTACTTCATCCTCTGTATATTAGGAGCTGACTAGAATTAGACCAAAGATTTACTTATAAGCAGTGGTGTGCTGGTAAATATTTAACAGCTGGCTCTTTGAAAGGCAGGAGCCTGTATTTGCAGCATTTTGCTGAGTTCTTTTGTGTAAATACTCTGACTGTGACCAATTTCCAGCTGCCACCATGTGGCTGAATATAGTTTGGAGGGGATCTGCATAGTTAGCTCTTCTGAGCAGGTATGATTTGACTAACAGGAAGGAAGGAAAGTATGATAATTTGTCATTTAGCTAAGCTGTGACAGGTTAGGATAATGGGAGTGTCTTACTGTTTTGAGATGGAAGTGTTATAAAAAGCTTACTAATATTAAAGTAGAAAACAGTGGACTTTGTACTTTTGATATACGTGTTCAGTCAGTCGAGCTTAGCAGTTCTCAATCACTGATGTCTAATAATCAAAGTATGTATTATGATTCAGAATTTCTTAATAGAGTGCAGAGTAAGTTATAAATTGAATTCCAAATGAAATAAATTTAATCTTTTCTTTCATTTGTTACTTATTAATATCCTCAAGAACTTGTTGAAATAATTGTATTTTTTGTTGACCCCCTCTTTTAAGTTGTTCTAGTAGTTATTTATTAGTTTGATGAAAAAAGAATTTTAAAAGGCATTTAGCAAAAACTGGACTGCAAAGACATTTCCTCAAGCTTGGTGGTATTGTGGATAAAATAAAACAGCAATTTATTCTCAAGCCATTGAGTTTACATAATCTAGCAATAAGATTACCTGAATTTTTACTTTAAAATGAACATTTTAGAAGTTTTTCTCTAATTTTATTAATTTTTAAACATGTAGTATTTATTTTCCAGATTAATAAATGTAATTGAATATACACTAATATACAATTTAAAAATTTGATGGTTGAATCTGTGGATAAAATCAAAACAATATAGTAATTTGGATTCAAGTCAGAGAATTTATATAATCAAGTAGTCAAATTTGGAGAAATACATATAAATAAGTTTTTAACCAATATAGTATATACTTGTTCTGCTTTTATTTTGGCCTGCATTAAATTGTTTGAATTTTTGGTTTATTTTTTTTATCAAGTTTGTTGAAGGATCACAGGTACCCAAGGTATGTTTATAATATTTAATATCCAATTGGAATAATCTAATAACTAATCATTTTAAATTCAAAAGGTCACAGAAAATGTCTTAATGCAGTGTGGCATATTATTATGAAGCCGTCTTGATTGATTCTGTAATTTGTTTATTTTACCTTTAATTATATTAAATTGGATTTATTTCTCCTTTTTCCCTTGATAACGCTTTAGAGCAGAGGTTGGCAAACTAGACTGTGGGCTTGCCACCTGTTTTGTAAATAAAATTTTATTAGAACATTCTTGTTCATTTACATATTGTCTTTGCTTTTTCATTACCTAGGCATAATTAAGTAGTTGGGACAGAGACTGCATGGCCTGCAAAACTAAAATATTTACTCTCTCTCTGACTCTTTATGGAAAAAGTTTGCTGACCCCTGTTAGAATTGCTATTATTTCAATGTTATAAAAATGAACAAATACATAAACTAAACTTATTTAATTTCCAGCCTATGTGTTTGATTATACTCACCTGATTTACCCTAACCAAAAATTCCTATGTCTGTCTCAAAAAGTTGGCTTCATTTTTCAGGAAATCTATGAAAAGGTGAACTGGTCCAAATCTGAACTTGAGGATGAAATACTCTTTCTAGAAAAACAATTACAAGAGGAGAAGTCTAAACATTCTGAGCAAGATGAATTGGTAAGTGGTAAGACCTTTGTGTTTGAGGAGACTGTAGGAAAAAGACAGTTACTGAATTTTAAAAAATTAATATGATATTGGTTAAAGTATTACATATGCTCTGAAAAATCAAAGAATACAGAAAGCTGTAAAATGGAGAGTAAAAATTTCCAGATCCACTAGCTCTTTTCATACCCTAGAGGTTACCATTATCATGTTAAGTTTCTTGCATATTCTTGTAGAAATCTTGTATATGCACTATGGAAGTAACTTACATAAATAAGTTGAATAATTGCATACATAGTGGATTTTATGTTATGATTCAAAAGGTATGTTAAGAGCCTTAACTTTCCTTTATTTGTCATCCTATTTTAAAATGTGTCTTAAGGAAGTTCTTGTGTGTGAGATTATTAGAAAGAGATGATGTTAATAGACTTATCTGAAGCCTTTAAAACTTAAATGTTATGAAATATTAAAGATGAGATAGGTTACTATTATGTAACTTTCATATCAAATTCCTTTAAGCATATGGCTGAGAAGGTTTATTAATTTGAGCCCTCAGGTGTTTGAGAAAAAGTGTTAGGTTCACGATATATCTAATATATGTGGCATCTTGGAAACTGAGGAGTTTAGTAAATACTTGTTTACTGATTGATACTGTCTTTCCAGATGGTGGATATTTCAAAAAAGATACAGTCCCTAGAAGAGGAATCAAAATCCCTCAAAGCACAAGTAGCTGAAGTAAGTTGAATTAGTTAATAGGTCTGTTGCTTTTGTCAATCATTTTAATTTTATTGTTACTTTTATGATTAAAGTATAAGATATAAATTAGAATTTGCGATATAAGGGTCTTAGATATATATTTTTTATACAAGGTACCATAGGAAAGTTCATTTTTTATTGGACTATTTATTGAGCTATTGCTACGTGCTCGTTACTGTGGAAAGGTTCTTGGCACTTAACATTAGTAGACAAAATTCACAGAAAAGTTGTAAAGTTTAAATTTTGCTAAGAGAGATAGATAGTAAAAAAGTTAACAAAACTTGCTACATAGTACACAGAAGGTTACAAAAGGTTAAATCAAAGTCCAAGGTCACATGGCAAGGTAGTGTTAAAGCCATGACTAGACCTTGATTCTAGGCCAGCCTTTTTTCTGCTACATTGTGCTGCCTCTCCTATTAACATTGGATGTTTTTTACTTTAATTCCATGTTATAAGGAGTATGTGTAAAAAAGAGCTATTAAACCCATTGTTATAAACTCAATATGTTGTATTTTACTTAGGCCAAAACAACCTTCAAAATATTTCAAATGAATGAAGAACGACTTAAGGTAGCTATAAAAGATGCTTTGAGTGAAAACTCCCAACTTCAGGAAAGCCAGAAGCAGGTTTGTACTGTATGGGGACTCTTCAACTTGTGAATATGTAATTGTAAATCTTCTGGGCATACTCATGACTGACCCTTGCTAGGAGCAAGAATAGGCTTTTCCTGGAGAGCACGAGAGCAGGGCAATCTCCTGTGTATTCTTCGGTGTCACTCCTGGTAGGATAAATTTTAATATAAGTAATTTTTATATATATATAAATTTTTTATATATATATAAAAAAATTTATATAAATATATATTTATATAAAATATAAAATTTTAATATAATAATATAAGGGCATGTTATATGGGATATAAGGAATGTTAAGAAATGACCGAATCTAACAGATATGTGTCAGAAAACCTTTTATTTGATATAGATTTATTATGTTAGTCAGTAGAAGAAGGTTTAAGTGTGTTATTTTACATTACCACTCTTTTGAAAGTTCTTTGAAAACGGGAGCCCGCCTTCCTTCCCTCCTTCATTCCATCCCTTCCTGTCTTCTTCCCTTCCTTCTCAGCAACACATTGTATTGTTTAATATCTATTAATGATACATAGATAAATATGGATGATAAGATAATATGAACTGCTTTTCTTTTTTTGTTGGGTTTGAATTTTAGCTTTTACAAGAAGCTGAAGAATGGAAAGAGAAAGTTAGTGAACTTAATAAACAGAAAATAACTTTTGAAGACTCCACAGTATGTGCAAAACAAGTTCTATGTGACAAAGAAAATCAGATCAAGGTAAATGGCCCTGTTGGTGACTGAGTCAGCTAGAATTTTATACTAATTCTGAAATTTGAAAATTTTTGTTTTCAGAAACTTTTATTTTGATCATTTATTTGGCCAAATTTGACGATATGTACTTTTTTGGCATATTTTTCAATTTGCCTTGAAGGCTTACAGATTTGTAGTGTATGTATCACCATTTCGTTTGTCCCTTTTCTTGTCTGTATCTTAGCCTAGGTATTGATTGAAGAAGGAAAGACAGTAATGGGTTTTACCTTTGTCTTTAGACTGCCGTCTGTTTCTGTTGATAAGAGGTTGGAAAGAATTTTAGAAATTGGACAGATGGAGTTATATGTATTGATTGAATATCTTTAATACTGAGATTGGCTGGTGTATGTACTTTCACAGAGATGAATACTTAAAAAAATAAATTAATTGAAACTTTAATAGGAATAAAAGAATTAATATTACTGTTAGGATTTGTTGACTTTTTCCTATTCCCTGTCTCCCCCTCCTAGCCCTTTTTCCTGCCTACTCTCTTAAATCTTATGTTTTCAAGCTGCAAAAAAATACTCAGGTATCACTATCAAGTAATAAGACGTAAAACTAACATTCTGTAATCTCCACAGTGAAGTGGATGTTACCATCTTGGAAGCTATGCATTTATGCTGTTTATGTTGCTACTAAGAATGTTTTCAAGACTTCATCTTTAGGAATTGTATTGATAGTTTGGCATATTATTTATTTTTTTCCCCCTGTATTTACTTTACTAAAGGACTTGGGACTCTTCCTAAACAGGACAAGAATAAGTTGCTAATCTCAAGCTCTACTCAAAGCGATAGGCCGTTATTTGTGCTTGGAACTCTCAGGAGGGAGCTGACTGAAGGGTGAAAATTATAGAGCAGAATGGGTTTGTAGGTGGGTCCCTCCACAAACATACATGGCACAGTCATTTTATTATCTGCAGTGCTAGAAAATCCTTTATTCAAGAAAATTCAAAAATTGTTGTTGGACAACCTCTAATGCTCCAATTTAGATTCTCTTTTATAATTTATTTTTTCTTATGTCAGCTGAACTTCCCAGCTAGTTGTTTACTTGAATAAATCATATCTGTGGAATCTGATTTTTTTTTTTAATCGGGGAACTGGCAACCTTAGTGTTATGAGACTGTGCTGTAACCAACTGAGCTAACCAGCTGCTCCAACTCCAGGTTGAGTAGTTGTTTCAGTCTAGTTGTGGAGGGTGTTTTTTCCAGGACCCATCAGCTCCAAGTCACGTAGTTGTCTTCAATCTAGTTTTGGAAAGCACAGCTCCTTGGTCCATGTGGGAATTGAACCGGCAACCTTGGTGTGGAAATCGAACCGGCAACCTTGGTGTTAGGAGCACTGCGCTCTAACCTAACTGAATTAACCAGCCGCCCATGAAATCTGATTTTTTCATATATCATGTACCTCACTTGCAGATTTGTTTAACTTCACATAAAATTTATTCTCTTGTGAGTGGCCACGTTTATTTGTGGCATGTGAGAAATATCATATAAGAAACTGTTTGGTTACTTTATAGCATACGTGGGCCATTATCAAGAATTGTATTTGATTGAGGAATCACCGGTTTTGGTTTTTAACTTGCAGAATTGAATAGTCAATACATGATAAATTTTTCAGAGTATTTACATATCATAATACCAGGTAGAGAATAAGAGTTCATTTACTGTTATTTATGTGCATTGATTTTTAACTATAACTATACTGTCAGAAGTTGTAAATCGTTAGCAGAAGGCATTACCCTCTCTTTTTTTTCTCCCTTTGCTAAATGTCAAGTCCCTGACTGAACGCTTGCTAAAGATGAAAGATTGGGCTGCTGTGCTTGGAGAAGACCTAACGGATGATAATTTGGAATTGGAAATGAAGAGTGATTCAGAAAATGGTGCGCACTTAGGCATTAAATGACTTGTCCTCTTGTTAAAAATGATGACTAGTTCTTGTATTTCCCTTTAGTTCCCCATGTTCACCCTGTTCTTTATATATTGTGTTTTGGCCCATCTTGTCCATCTTTCTTTAATTCTCTGTCCCTTTCTCACCATCCCTTATAGTTAAGCTTCAGCTGGAATACGGCCTTTTCAGTAAATCTTTCACCATCTCCTCAGACAGACTTGCAGCCTCCTTCCTCTGTTCTTTTCATGTATTGTACATATCTTCATATAGCAATTTTAACATTGCATCATAATCATTATAATGCCTCCTTTTACCTGTACTGTAAGCTATCAAATGGATGGGTGAGTAGTTTAAAAAAAAAAAAAAAAGAGTGTCATATAAATTAATACCTCAGGATACTTTTTTTTTTTTTTTTTTAGTTAGATGGTTCAGATGGTTACGGTGCTTTAACTTTGGCCACCCCAAATTGTTATTGCTGTTGTTGGTTGCAACCTGGAACCTGAGGAAAATGTTAGGTTCACCATAGCTACTCACTGTATTCTCAAATCAATTCTTTTGACTTAAAATTTTTTATTTTATTTTGACATAATTATAGACTTAGAAGAAGTTGTAAAAAGAGTGCGGAGAGATCTTACATATCTTTCACCTAGTTTTCCCTAATGGTAGTCCTTTTGACTTTTGTGTACTTGCTCTTTTCTCTGCCTCCACCCCTGCATAATTAACAGATTTATTAAGGAGGAGAAGATATGATTTTTATAAAGTTTTCTTTGATGATAGCATTAATACATTGTTGGAAAACTACATTTCCAAAGTAAATACTTACAGTTCTGTTTTTACTTTAAGATCTGCTTTATTTTGGAAGAAATAATTTTCTAGTGAGAAAACTCATGCTTGTTTAATGTTATTTTAATTTGGAGTATAATTCCACTCGTATTTTGTATGGTGAAGGATTCCAAGAATAGACTGTGGACTGTAATTAGGTGAATACCAAATCCTTGTTATAACTCTGTTCTTGGACTGGTGAAGATCCTTGTTAAATGATAACTCTTGTACTTCTAGTGTTTTTATTGTTTAACTTCTTGGGAGCAGATTCAAGGCCGTTCTGCCTTATATCAAATTCATTGCTATAGCAAGAAGGGGATTATAAGGCTCTAGCTGAGAGAACTAATAAAATCATTTGGATGTCTGTTGTGGCATTGCATTTTTTTCCACCGATTTATTGTTATGTTTTTGTTTTTTACTACAGATAATCAACCACAAGGAGCTTTGAAGAAACTGATTCATGCTGCTAAGGTTTGCATTACTATATAAATATAAAAATAGAAGTAGGACATGGATTAAACCCGTGTCTTTAGTAACTATTTTAAAAGGCAGTTTTATAGTTACAATATAAGAGATCAGAATTTTCAGAAGTAATCAGAATTATCTTTGTTAATTTTTTTTTATAATTAGAAATTCATATTGTTAATTTTTAGAATTTATCATAACAAATTTTCAAGGCCTGAATTCATATCTTTTGGATAAGGAATACATTAAAAATGTTTGCTCTACTTTCTCTCATACTTCTCTCTTTGAGCATTTTTCTTTCTCTGGTCTCAGTATTTTCCCCTTTCTGTTTCCCCATATTCTATTTTGTGAGTTAAATACTAGGTTCCTTTTCTTCTGGTTTATCCCTCCTCTTTTCCACTTCAGTAATGGCATCCTGATCTTTACTGATCTGTGAGAAGTATTGGTAATGTAGTTTGAAGATCACTTTAATCAAAACTTACATGTTGAAAGTAAACAAAATGAAAATAGCCAATGTTTAAGCATCTGTCACTTATCTTCTTTATCCCTGTTCTGAAATTTACAACTATTGAGGACTTTGGTAACTTTCTAAGATGGACGCTGCATTGTTAGCTTGTACATTCTAGGCAATAATTTCATCAAAGTTATAAAAGAGCTTTGAAAGGTTGGGATGGCATATTGGGAGTTTTTGTTTTTGTATAACTGATTAATGTTGTTTTTTACTTTCTTCTATTCTTTGAAGTTAAATGCTTCTTTAAAAACCCTAGAAGGAGAAAGAAACCAAATTTATACTCAATTATCTGAAATAGATAAAACAAAGGAAGAACTTACAGGTAAGTAATGTACATACTTTTAAAGTTTTCCTATATAAATATATCTTATAGAGAATGGCACCATGAATTAAATCAATTATGGGAAGATCAGTTTGATCATTTTTTGTTTGTTTGTTTTTTGTTTTTTTACTTTTTTTTCTTATTTGGGAAAAATTAATCCCGAATTTTTTGTCGTTGTTAATAAAGCCTTATCGGTTTCCTCCATATTTATATGAAATTGTTGGGTCGTCAGGATAGGCATGATGCATTTTTGCATTGAAAAACATAGAAAAATATGTCATGACTTTCCCGATGACCCAATAAAATAATGAAATTATTTAAAAAAAAGTAAAACCATACTTATCTTTGAATTTCAGTGTTGTATGTGTGGTATGATTTGAGATATTAAAAAGTAGCAAATTAAAATGTTTCAAGGTCTTTGTTAATTGTAAAATTGACTTTCAGTAATGATATTACTATATTTGACAGATCTTTTTACAGTATAGTTTTCCCCTTTAATATATATGTGTAGTATGTTAAATATGTAGTATATTTACTTTTAATAAATTTCTCTAGAGTGTATTAAAAATCTCCAGACTGAACAAACATCTCTGCAGTCAGAAAATGAACAGTTTGAAAGTGAGAATCAAAAGCTTCAGCAGAAACTTAAAGTAATGACTGAACTGTATCAAGAAAATGAAATGACACTTCACAGGTAATAAAAATTATGTTGATAAGGCTACTGAATGAATGGCAAGTAAAATAGCTTAAAAATGTTGCATATTCAGTTTATGTGATTATCCAAAGTTCTGTTTATGATTGGATGATATTTCACCAGTGCTTATTTTAAGAAAGTTATTTGATCTTGAAACACTTTTTCTTCAAGGAAGAAAATGTAAATGGTATTGGACTTTGCAAGGTAGTTCACAAAATCCTCTTTAACTTTTTTTTAATTTTTTTAAAGATTTTATTGGAGAATTGGGGGAGGGCAACAGGGTTGGGGAAACAGGGAAGGGGAACAGACAAGTTGCTGTCCTTTTGTTCTTCAGTCTAGTTGTGGAGGATGTTGCTTCACTGGCTCATGTTGGTAATATCATTGCGCTCTTCCCGGGTGAGGCAGTTATTCGCAGGCCATTAGAGGGCCGCTCACTGCAGCTAATGGCAGCTCACGCTGGCTGCCAGCTGCTCACGCTGGCTATCAGCCACTCACGGTAGCTCATGGCAGCCCAGTGCAGCAGGGGCTGCAGCCTACGCCATCGCTGGCGACTCACGGCAGCCCAGGTCCAGGTAGAGCTGTTGTTCACCATCTTAGCTGTAGAGGGCGCAGCATCACTGGCCCTCATGGGGGATCCAAACTGGGGCCCTGCTGCTCAGAGCTGTCATCCCAAGCCAACTCTTAACCAGTGTGCCACTCAGCCGGTCCTCTTTAACTTCTTATAGTCAGCAAATTATTGCTAACTAATCTTCCTAATACTGTAAGCTAGGTCAGGGAATCTGCTGTCATTTTTTTTTTTTTTTAAGCTGAGCCATCCTGCCACCTGTTGGCAGCTCATCGGCTGCTCAGCTCGGGCCAGGTATCGAACTGCTGTTGCTCAGAGCTCAAACTCTTAAGCAAGCTCTTAACCAACTGAGCCACTCGGCTGGCCCTAGACCAGGGAATCTGAATGGACATCCTACTAATTAAATGCTACCCATTAGTTTTATCTCTGATATATATATATAAAACAGATTCCTTTCCCCTGTGTAAATTGCTCCTGCCGAACCATTTCTTGTCTCAGTAAATGGCAGTGCTATTTGCTCAGTTGCTCAGGGCAGCTGTTCATGACTTTTCTCTTTTATATCTTCAAATTCTGTCAGCTTTCCTGTATCTTGAATCTGACTACTTATCACCACCTCCTATACTACTTCTCAGATCCAAGCCATCATAAGTTAGGACCTGGTTTTTTGCGGTAGCATCATGAGTGGAGTCTCTCTCTACTCTTAACTTCCTGCTCTGTGTTTTCAGCAGCGTGGCCCTTCTAAAACATAAATAATGAGTATTGTCCGTCTGTTGTTTGGAACCTCCAAGTACCTTCATATCGCACTCAGAATTTAAACCAAAGCTTTTGTCATGGCCTGCAAGACCCTACAAGATCTGGCCTCTGGCTACCTCTTTAATCTCAGCTTATTTATTTCTTTTTTCCTTGCTACATTACAGCCACACTGGCCTCCCTGATGACCTTTAGCATGCCAAGCACATCTGTATCCCAGGGCCTTTTGTATTTGCTCCTTCTGCCTGGAATTGTGTTCCCCTGTATAAGGCTTAATACTTCATTTAATTTAGGTCTAGATTCAAATGTTGCCTCAAAGAATCCTTCCCTGGCTAGCCTAACTAAAATAACACCTACCACTCCCTGTCCTCTTATCGTGCTTTATTTTTCTTTGTAGCCCTTATTCCCCTCTGATGACTGATTGTATGTATGTATGTATGTATTTATATCTTTTTCACATTAAATGTAAACTCCATGAGAGAATTATTCTCTTTTGCTTAAAAGTATGCCTCATGCATGGTAGTTGTTCAGTAAATATTTGTTGAATGTACAAATAAATATGTTTAGTTCCTTTATATTTTGGAGTGAGAGACTGTGTGCATGTGTATGCTGATGCCTGATTGCGTAGGTGCACAGGAGACCCCTGAAATACCTACTTGGAGACTCCAGATATTCAAATACCACTATAGCACATATTTTTAATCATAAAAAGAAATAAAATGTAACAGACTTTCAAGCCCCTTTGCAAACTTAATGTAAGATATTACAGTTGATCCTCATTATTTGTGGATTCTGTATTTGCAAATTTGCAGACTTGTGGAAATTTATTTGTACCCCCAAAACCAGTATTCGTGGAGCTTTAGTGGTCATTTATAGACATGCACAGAATGGTGAATGGCGAAAAATCTGAATTGCCCGATGTGCACGTTCCCAGTTGAGGTCAAACAAGGTGATGCTCTTCTTTCTTAAGAGTCTGCTGTCATCCTCTAAACAAATGTCCTTTTTGTAGTATATTTAGTGTCTCATTTTTAAGCTTTTTTTTTGTGTGTGATTTAGCTGTTTAAAATTCACCCACGTGTGCTGAAGTGCTGTCCAGTGTTCCTAAATGTAAGAAGGCTGTGGCCCAAAAAGTTAGCTATTATTATTATTAAAGGAACCGGAAGTGGTGAGCAGGACTACCCCAGTGCCTCACAGAGCAAATACATGTGTCAGGTAACCTTTGTTCAGCCATTAGTTATGTGGTTACAGACCGGGAATTCACTGTTAATGAATCAACAACATGCATTCAATAGGTGTCTTTAAACAGAAATATGTAAGACGGTTATGTAGTGATCATTGGAGGGAAATACTGTGACCAGAGCTCACAGGAACCTAATTTTGTACTTCTTTTAAAAGCATTTGCTAATTTAGGATTTGTGGTGACTTTTACAGACTATAACTAGCGGGAATAATGAGACTCTGTTGCATGAATCTGGAAACTGGTAGAGAATACGAACGTTCCATTGACATCAGGGGCCTGAGTGATTTAAGCTCTTTGCCAAACTGCATACTTCAATCATGCTTTGGATTCTATTAAAAATTTAAACACTTGCTATTCATGATGGACTTCTGGGCCACTTAATGACTGCTTAGGGTATAAAAGAGACACGAACTTGACTAAATGATAGAACTACAGAGTAGCCTCATGGTTTGTATCAGTAAACCTATGAATGAGCCCTTCTTTCTTTTAGGTTAGGATGAAAGATAGTGTGTGAAAAATTTGGACATAAAAGAGACTTATTTGAAGTGAAAGAAATAATTTTTGGTGTATCTTTTGGACAAAAAATGTGATTGATTATAAAATTTTAATAAGTAGTGTTTAAAATTTTAAAGAAAAATTTCTGGAGATACTTAAAGCAAGGGTGGGAAGCTGAGTAGAATCCTAGCTGTATGTGTATTGTTTACATTGTGATTTCATTCATTTATTTGAAATGCTTTGAATTCCAAAAATATTGTATATTCCATTCTCATATTTAAATTAAAATATTTACTGTTCAAATTCAGTAAATTATGCCACTAGTTCTTCAGAGTAGAATATAGAGAGTTGACAGTAGTAGTAAAATGTTAAAATTCTTTTTTTTTTTAAAGATTTTATTGGGGAGTTGGGGAGAAGGGAAACAGCCAAGTTGCTGTCCTTCAATCTTAGTTGTGGAGGATGCAGCTAGCTCAGCTCCAAGTGCAGTTGCCATCCGGCTGCCCGGCCGCAGCTCTCAGCCGCTCAGCTCAAGGTGCCATGTTTAATTTTAGTTACATGTGGGCATAGCCCACCATCCCATGCGGGAGTCCAGCCGGCAACCTTGTTGTTAGGAACACGTGCTGTCACCAGCTGAGCCATCCTGCCATCTGTTGGCAGCTCAGCGGCAGCTTAGTTTGTACGCAGCTCACTGGCCCATGTGGGGGTCGAACCGGCAACGCTGTTGCTCAGAGCTCGCGCTCTTAACCAACTGAGCCACTTGGCTGGCCCAAATGTTAAAATTCTTTCCTGCAGACAGTGTGATTTAGATTAATGTTTTTTTACTAGTGATATATTACATTACTAGCACTTTTCTACATTTAATATTGGAGAGAAGTGAAATAGTATGGAAGCTTGATATGTTGCTTTAAATATGTGAAGTAAGATGTGGTTGTTTTTAGTTATATCATTGGGTTTCCTTTCACAGTGTAGTTTTCATCATTAGTTAATCCCACCCAAATTCAGAGGTGGGGGGTGTGGTTCATAGACTTTACCTTTGAAGGGTAAAAGAATTTTTCTGTGTCAAACAATTTCTGGCCATTTTTTTTTTAAGATTTTTATTGGGGAATTGGGGGGATGGGAACAGTGCTGGGGAATTGGGGGAAGGGGAACAGACAAGTTGCTGTCCTTTTGTTCTTCAGTCTAGTTGTGGAGGATGTTGCTTCACTGGCCCAAGTTGGCACCATCATTGCGCTCTTCTCTGGCGAGGCAGATCAGTCGCCGGCTTCTGGACGGCCGCTCACTGCGGCTGCTGGCCGCTCACGCTGGCTGCTGGCCACACATGGTAGCCCATGGCAATCCACTGCCACAGGGACTGCAGCCCACGCTGTCGCCAGCGACTCAGGGCAGCCCAGCTCCAGGTTGAGCTGTTGTTCAGCATCTCAGCTGTAGAGGGCAGTGTCACTGGCCCTCATATGTGGGATCCGAACCGGGGCCCTCTGGCATCCCAAGCGAGTTCTTAACCATCGCGCCACTCGGCCGGCCCTCTGGCCATTTTTAATCTGCACAGTCTGTAAAAACACTTCTTGTCCATCTCCAAGCCCATTAACCTTGTATGCTTTTCCTAAGGCGATGGCTTTTATTTTCTTATAACACCTATGAAACAATTGACCCTAGGAAGTACTTTCTAAGCAACAGGTACTGTAGCGTGTACAATATAAAACATTTATTGCTGCCCTGTAGAATTTCTTCAGTTGTTTATCCCCAACAGTTGTTCCTCTCCAAAGCTCATGAAGAAGGGGAGACATCCATAGTTAGGACTCCAAATGTGTTTTTTTGTGGTGTTTAATAAGTATTTTTTGAGGGACCGGTGTTATTAATGATACCATCTGAAATAACATGGGTGATACAGTGTAATGGAGTCACTACTTGCTAGCTCTTTGTTGGTCTTGTTATTTAGTTTCTCTGTGCTTCTTTTTTTTTTTTTTTTTAAGTAGTACGCTTTCTGTAGAGTTGTTGTGGTAATTAAATAAGATAATACATGTAAATGTCTAAGAACAGTTCCTGGCACGTATTAATGGCACAGTAAGTTGGCTATTATTATTAAAAGAACTAAAAGTAGTAAGTAGGAGTACTACTAACTTTGGGTTCATTGTAAGGTTTTTTTTTTTTTTTTTTTTTTTTTTTTTTTGGTGAAGTGGCCTGGAAGACTAATCACTATTTTAACAACTTAACAACCAACTTAAAAATTATTTAAAAACAGTTCATTAGTTGGTGGCTTCTTATCTAATAAATGTAATGCTTCTATATATGATGTCTTGATAAATAATATATATTCATAATACTTTTTATTAATATTTACCTTTGGTAATCTTATTTTTATGATAAATTCTTATAGAAAACTTTTGAAACTTTTATATTAGTAGTACTGTTATTTGACAAGATGCTTTCTAATTTGAGTTTGTAATAGTAAATTGCATGCCAGGAATGCAATTTTTTTGCACTTTTTCCTTGTGTGTGATTTTTTTAGGTATTATGCAAATTGCTTTCTGGGAAGCACCAGTTGTGACATAATTGAAGATATGTAATTGATTATTTTATGACATATAGTAAAAGAACTAAAACATTTTTTGTTTTAAGGAAATTAACAGTAGAAGAAAATTACCGGTTAGAGAAAGAGGAGAAACTTTCCAAAGCAGATGAAAAGATCAGCCATGCAGCTGAAGAGCTGGAGACCTATAGGTATTAAATATATTTTACCCCTTTCTTTTTGAGGTTGGGATGGTATCCAAAAGCCCAGTACCAGAAAAAAATAATACAGCTGTCAAAAAAACCCAACAACGAATTTTTGTGTTATCACTTTCATTTAGATGTCTCTATTATGGAGTTATACAGAAAATATAAAAAGAAAAATGTTTTTCTTCAGTGTGTGAGATTTTAAATCTTTCACATTAGTTATATTTGAACATGAGCAATCCTACTTTCTGTTAATCTCAAGAAAATTATGAGTTGCTATTAATTTCAGAGTCTTTCCTCTTTGGTTCAAATGGGAAAGAATGTATACAATATTAATGAACTCAAGAAATATGCCCCCCAATAAGAAGAGTGAGCCACAGTTAAAGTTCTGAAGTGTTTATAAGACTATCAGTCTATCAGTAGCATACCAAATAGTTGTGATACTTCATTTTACTTTAGGAAGAGTAGCTTGAGTTTTATCCAGAAGAAGGAATTATCTTGTTAGTCATTTTTTTAAAGATTTTATTGGGGAATTGGGGAAGGGGACCAGCCAAGTCATTGTTCTCAGTCTTCGTTGTGGAGGGCGCCAGTTGCCATATGGCTGCCTGTCGGCAGCTCGTGGCCTCTAAGCTCAGGGTGCGGTGTTCAATCTTAGTTGCGGGTGTGCATAGCCACCATCCCATGCAGGATTCGAACCAGCAGCCTTGTTATTAAGTGCACACGCTGTATCCACTGAGCCGTCTCGGGGGCAGCTCAGCTCAAGGTGCTGAGTTCAGTCTTAGTTGCAGGTGGGCATAGCCCACCATCGAACAGGTAATCTTGTTGTTACACCAGCCGAGCTATCCTGCCATCTGTTGGCAGTTCAGTGACAGCTCAGCTCGGGTGCAGCGTCACTGGCCAATGTGGGAATCAAACTGGTGGCCCTGTTGCTCAGAGCTCGTGCTCTTAAGCCAGCTCTTAACCGATTGCGCCACTCTGCCAGCCTTATCTTGTTAGTCTTAACGAAAGTAACAAGTACCATTTTATTTCACACCGATTAATTTCCTAGAATTTTATTAAGATTACAGACATCTGAATAAATCTCCCAGGGTCATACTTCTTGAAAATAAAAATGAACCAATGTACCATATAAATCTTTGCAAGACCTTTGGTTAAGGTAAACCCAAGTAATATTACTTTTAAAGCTTAATTAATGTTAAAATTGTATCAAGAAAAAATGTGCTTTAAAATGTCTTAAAGGTGGTTGACATGTGGCGTTCTGGATGTATTTTTTAACATGAAACAAAGCATTTTGGGTGCTTTAATTAGTATTTTCAGTAGAGACAGTGTGTTTTGTCATTTCTTAGTATATGTTAATAGTAGAATAATTATTTCTTCCCTGTAGAAAGCGAGCCAAAGATCTTGAGGAAGAATTGGAGAGAACCATCCAGTCTTATCAAGGGCAGGTATGTGTGTGTGTGTGTGTGTGTGTGTGTGTGTGTGTAATTTCAAACAATTCTGATTTGTTTGAATTGATATCTCTATTTTGATGCAGAAGTATAGTTTACTTGACTAGTTATATACCTCTGGGGTTTTGCATGTGGCTAAGGAACATTTCTAGGGAGTCAGAGATTCTGGAAAAGAGATCTTGTTTCAAGTTGCCATGTCTTCTGCTGCTTTGGAATGTGGACGCATAAATAAATAACCTATCAGCATAGGGGTCTCATATTCAGTCAGGCTATTGAAGTTGTCCCTTAGTTGGCAACTCATTGTAGCTGATTATTGCATACAATAGAAATTTACTAGACAAAAATTTTAGTTGTCTCTACATTCAGTTTTTCTTTAAAAGTATAAGAGTAAATCATGTGTATATGAAAATTTGCTTTAAAATGTTACTAACTTTTCATAGATGCTTGAGTTATTTTTGAGTTTATTAGTTGTGTACTAAATCATAGTCGTATGTGAATGTTTTTATGTAAGAAAAGTAGTCATCAGTATTATAATTTTCTCTTTCAGATTATGTCCCATGAGAAAAAAGCACATGATAATTGGGTAAGGATTAAATTCTCTGAGGCTCTTTTATAAAATTGTTCTTTTTCCTGATTTAAAAGAGCAGTGTAAAAGGTACTTTTACACTGAAAATAAAGGTAATGTTGAAGAAAAATCATTTTCTTTTACTATGTTCGTTATGAACTAAATACTTTTGCAGTTATTCATAAAAATCTTTATTTTTTCTTCTCTGCTTTTGGCACATTGCATCTTTGCAAGGAGTTTATATTCTCTGTAGGGGAGGTGATGTAATGTTCATGGATTTATTGTTTCAGTGCAATGGATTGCCACTAATTACTGGGGACAAATTACTTAAAATTCTCGGGCCTGTTGACTCATCTGTAAAATAGTGGCATTGAGCTAAGTGATACCTAAAGTCCTTTCAAATTCTGCAAGTTCTAAAAAAAAAATCTAAAAATTCCGGTATGATATCAGTGTTGAATTACTTGATAAACATTAAGAAAAAGACCATCATGAGAAATGGCATGTCAGTACTCCAGAGGAGCTGTGTGATGAAATCATAAGGGTGCAGATTTTGACTGATTATAAAAGTGATCCCTCTAATGTATAGAACTGCTGTAATAAGCCACACTTTGGAGGACTTATCCCAGGTGTCTGTAAGGGCAGACAGTTTGCACAGGGTTTATACATGTGGCCTGGAGTCGGCCTGTCATGGTTGGTATCCTGGCTCCCTCACCTATTGCCAGTTTCCTAACCTATAAAATAGGGACATCATTAGGACCTATTTCATAGTTATTGTAATGATTCAATAAGATAATTATTGTAGGGTAGTTAGTTAGGTGCCTGACACATAGTAAGCACTCGGTAAATGTTAACTGTTACTATCGTTGTTATACTGAAGCTTGGAAGATATTTCTTAGGCATGGATGTTTTTTGGAGATTCTAGCTTAGGGTGAGAAAGTAGATATGTCGAATATCAAGGTCCTTTCCAAATTCTAAGATTTTGTACATTCTGTATTGAGAGTTTATGTGAATATTTGTTATCGAATTAAGCTGGGCTTGGATATGAATTTAGTCTTCTTCACCACTCCTCATCACTTTCTAAATATAAATACTCATATGTTGATTATTTTTTAAAGATGGATAGGAATTGACATTTATTAATATCTCTCATCTTCTAGGAACTGTACTTGAAGGCATTTTACATATATTTCTCATTCAGTCCACACATTAACTCTGTAAATAGGTATTATAATTCAAGTTTTACAAATGAAGAAACAGCCCAAGGTCACATAATTAGAGAGTGAAGAGTGGAAGAAGACTTTTGGATTCTAAGTCTTGTGTTTTTTCTGTTACTTTACATTGAATTTCTTAGTAAATAATGACATTGACTTTAAAATATGCAGAAAACATGCCCTTTATGTCTCAAAATGAAGATATTTTTCAGATATTATAAAAGTAATGTATACTCATTAAACAAATATTCAGACCATATAGAAAGGTACAAAGACATAATCAGCAGTATTATTTTCATCTATTCCACACTTTTTTGAATACATTTAGACATAAAAGCACATTAATATTTAAAAAACGGAATCATATTATAAATGTTTTTTTGTTTACTTAATATGTCAGATATTTTTCTGTGAATATTCCATAATTGATATAAACCTTTTCCATTTGATAAACCTTTAGTTTGTTTCCACTTTTTTACTCTTATAAATAATTTTACAGTTTCAGTTGTTATTTTATCTACTGAGCATTTCTTTGTCCTTCCTGTTAGATTTAATATTTCCTTTTGAACTCAGAGAGTACTTTGTTTTTATGTGCTGTGGCAAGTACTGTGCACATTTATATTTGTCCTTACTACAGCGTAAGCTTCTTAAGATAGGGACTGTTTCTTTTCCCTTAGCACCTATACCTAATGGAATGCTTTTTTGCATATTGTAAGTATTCAATATCTGAATACAGTATTTTAGAATACATTGTGGTCATTCACTGAAATTACAGTTTTACCTAACCTTTGGGTGTAAGCTTTTCAAAAGTCTATAGTTATTTGCCATCAGTTTATTTTTATATTTTTTTGTTGTAGGTATATCTTTAATACATATTGTCTTGTAATCATAGTAGAACTTACTTTTGACTTATTTATTATGCATTTTTTTGTGCTTTATCTTAAGGGTAAATATGTTATACTGTGTAGAAAACATTTAGAAGTAATTTTGGTTCTATGTTGTTAAAAGTTAAATGAATTGGTATTTTATTAACTAAAATTATTGTGGTGTAATATTTTTTTTGTTAGTACAAAATTGATTACATGATTACATACTAGAAAAATATTTACACGTGTAATCCTTTTAATAATGAGTGCTAAAATATGGTTAAGCTCTATTTTTTTGTGACTACGTAATTTATCCTTTGCCAGTTAAAGTCAGTTCTCACGTAGTTCACAACTTTAAGTGAACACAGTGATAGCATAGTTCTTTCATTTGTAAAAAGTTAGGGTTATAGACTGAGTTAATTTACTTATCTTTGTATAATAGGTACATTTGCCCTAGAATTGCATTAGTTCAGCAGGTCTGATGTTCCACACACTGCTCCTTCTAATCTGGGGAATCCACAGAATGGGAGACATGCAGGAGTCCATACAGGTTTAACCTTTGACCAAAACTATTTGGGAATATTGCATGTTCTTGGTATTTATTATAAGTGTAAACTTTGTCTTCTATAACACAAACTCTGATTTGTAACCTTTTATTTTACTAAATAAAAGTGTCTCTCAACAAATGTAAAAGACTATAGGAATATTATGTGTACAGTGCTGTGTACTTAGTAGACATGCAGCATGCTCTGATTATATTCAGCCATTTAAAAAATGGCCTCTACTGGCATGCCGTGAAACTACTATAGACCTTTATGGTTTCACAGAATTTCAGTGACTTTTTTCCAGAGCTGGTTACCTTGTTCTATAGCCAGTGCTGCCATGCGTAATTATCCTGAGTCTCCGTTCCCGTTACCCTAGGCTTAGGTTCTTTGACGTTGCTCTTGTCATGCTATTTGGATATTTACAGCACCAAATAATGCTAACCCTTGACTTCACATCAAGATAACAGCATTTATTGGCAAGTACATGACTGAACTCCAGCCTTAGGCTGATGTCTTCTGATTACAGGAAACTCATACTCCTTTAAAATTATTCCCTAAATTAAAATTGTTTTCCATTGCGAGTACAGAAATGGATACTTACTTAAATGACTGTGATATTTGTATGTCATCATGCAGTATTCATATACATGTATCTTTCATTTTAAGTTTGTTTAAAAAATATTTTTAAAAAATACTATTTTCTTTAAGATGGCAGCTCGGACTGCTGAAAGAAGCCTCAATGATTTAAAGAAAGAAAATGCTCACAACAGACAAAAGTAAGTATCTTAGTGGGAACACTTTAAAAGCTAGTTATTACTTTTATTCTTAGTTGTTATTTTATTATAAGGATAAATAATACTTTTATAAGGATAAACAAGAAAACTTGCAGTAAATGCAACGTATCTAGTGGTAAAATATCTATTAGTTTTACTAAGAGTTATTAGAATTTTTTGTTTGAAACACTTGTCTTAGAGGGGTCACTCTAACAGAAGGAAACTGTTCACTGAATCTTTTGTAAATGGTGTAACAAAATTTAAGAAAAACAAAACAGCGTAGGTAGAGGGAGATTTCATGGGATGGAAAGAGAAAGGATGAATCTCTGACGTAGTAATTCTCAGAGTATCAGCATCTTTAAATGGATAAATGGATAGAATAAATGTTTATTATTTCTCTTATCCCCTGATTTTAATGTATTGGGTAGCATTACTTTACGATAATAACATGAAAGGGAAAATAAAAGTGTACAATGTACAAGTGAAGGGAAGAGTAAGTGCTTTTCTGTGAGGATGTAGCAGTCATCCCAGGGTGTTATAATTTTTTGCCAGAATGTACAATTAACATTATCCAATATTAGTTTTAGTCTTCTTGCTTGCCTTTTCTACTTCAAAATTAAAACCAAATGATTAAATGTTTCATTTCAGATCTAATGGTCAAGAACTAGAAATAAGATTCTTTTAAAATATCACATTTCTACGATAAAAAGTTTAGGAGTAAAATTGTAGCATGAGTTTAATTGGATTCCAATTTTATGTTATGGCTGGAATCATATGGGTAACATTACAATGGAAAACATACATGACTTAGAGCCAGGAGTCTTGTTTTAATCCTGGCACTTATCATTTTGAATAAATCATTTAAACTCCTAGCCTCAGTTTCTGTAGTTAAAAAATGATAGACTTGTACTCGTTGACCTTGGAGGACCCTTCTATTTTTAAAATTTGGATTGTGTGATGTACTCTTTGTAGTCTGATTTTGAAGAAAAAACAATTCCAAACCTCAACAAAATATCGCTCTCACTAGGCAAAAAGACACTTGTTACCCTAAAGTAAGTAGTGGGGGATATAGAAAGGTATTTTGGTCAGAATAATTTTAAAGGGTGTGTTTCTTCTATGCAGATATTGAGAAAGTGAAGAGTAGCTTGTACTTGATAGTGTCATTTTTCTTGAAATGTGGGTGCTTCTTCTGGACAAGTAACTTAGAGATGTTTGTTCTTTATTCACAGATTAACTGAAACAGAGTTTAAATTTGAACTTTTAGAAAAAGATCCTTATGCACTTGATGTTCCAAATACAACATTTGGCAGAGGTAGTCTTTTTTTTTTAACCCCTCATTAAAAGATACATATATATTTATATATATTGCATATACAGTTTTTATTAGTGTAAATTTAATATTTATAAACATATTAGATTTTTGAGCTAGAGTTCTAATTGGAGTTCTCATAATCTTCCAAGTTTCTGAGTTGTATTTCCTTAGCTATACTGTAAATAATTGCTTCCTCTCTTTCTCAGTGAGGTTTATAAGATGATGTATATTTAGTAACTTGAGCTCCTTGAAAACTAAAGTGCTCTGCACAATGTAATTATTATTTCAGGGAAGAATAAACGGGTAAGGAGTGCTTAAATAAAATAGCATTGTGACTGCTTACATAGTAACTATTTGGTATTTGCTTGAATTATAAAAATGAAAATTAAAACAGTTGGTTTTTAATTACTTAAATATATTAAGTAAAAAGTGGGAAAACCTGAGTAATCTGAGTTTTGATTGCTTTAATACCCCCAAAAGAGGACCACTTCTTTAGAAGATGTATTTAATATTTCTGTTGATTCATTAATGAGTTAGCATCTTTAATGATCTCATACTATTTCAAATAGTTTAAAATTTCCCAAACAATTTTGTTTGAATTGGAATTAAGTTTCTGAGGCAGTGAAAATAAACTTATCTTTATATAGGAAGAATCCTATTATAATAACCTTTGAAAAGTTATAAAAATCATTTTTGAGAGTCCAGTTTCATTAAAATGAAAGTCTATTTCTACGTTTTGAAGATAGCAGATTTTTATAAATTTTAAATAGTAACAAAATTAGGAGATGGAGGAATTATACAGGAAGAATTTTTGTCTGAAATTAATGCAGAAGTCTCAGGTAGAGTATATAATGCTTTGATCTTTTGTTGTAACTACATTTGAATATTATATAAACTACACAATAAAATTTAGCATATTTAAAAAGTGTTATTTTGGTTATATTTAAGTTTGTTTTTTGATGTAGATTTTTGATCTTTTGAGGCATAATCATTTTTTGGGAATGGTGAAGTTTGTAAAATGATAGGGCTCCTGGTTACATGGATTATAGATAAAGTAATAATTTTTTTATGAATTAGTATATGTAAACTGATTTTTCACTGGTAATGAATTAAAAGTAATTTCTGATGCTTTAGAGTATTTTATGCTTTTCGTATTCCTAAGCTTTACTCAAACAATTCATGGCCCAACACAGGCTATCTGGCCCTGATTTAGACTGAGCCCTTCCATGTTTCAACCCTCACCAGCTGAAATACCAGGAAGTGTACTGCCATTAAAAACCAAACCAAACAAGCTTCGTGCCCCCCAAATCTTGTAACCCCCATATATCACCAGTATCCTTTGGTTAATACTTCATGGTTATATATGTATATCAATTATCAAGAGGAGAATGTTTTTATTGTCTAAAATATACATTTGATAGACAGACTTTATGGAACATAGGGTTCCATATTTAATTCTGTCCCATGTTAGCAAAACCCAAGGCATACTAGTGTTCAGGACATGGAGTAAACTTAAATTGGCAATAGGGTGACCTGGTGGTAATTGTTGAAATGGGATTCTAATCTATAGTGTAGGTAATTGAAACTATGAATTTAAATATGCTGTTTTAATTATTCCAGAGCATTCCCCATATGGTCCCTCACCATTGGGTCGACCTTCATCTGAAACGAGAGCTTTTCTCTCCCCTCCAACTTTGTTGGAGGGTCCACTCAGACTCTCACCTTTGCTTCCAGGGGGAGGAGGAAGAGGTATATTGTTTAAACATCTTTGTTACTCTAAATTTCTTCCTTCCTTTACATTTTCATCTCAACTTATCTTTAAAATAATCCTTTGGAAAATACAGGCATTCCTTGCACTTATTGTGGATTAGTTTTGTTTGGAAATTATGACATATAATTTTAATATTTTTCTCTTAGATACCATGTTATAATACATTACATTTTGGTCAAGCACTGGATACGTATCTTTTTAAAATCATATTTTGACTTCTTAAAAACTATATATTATGCTACGTAGTATACAACTTTATAAAGATTACCTAAAACAACAATATAACATAGCATAAAATTGTATTTCAATGAAACATTATTAGAATGTAGAGTTTAAAAATCTTTTTTTACTTATCATGATCTTTTTATTGTAGAAAATCAAGGTGAAAGGACCTTTTTTTCAAGTTGAGAAATTCAGAATTGCTTTTTTGTAGGTAGAGTTTTCATGGGAACCTTAAATGAGACCTAAATCATTTGTTAATACTTTGAAAAACCGGCCTAAGATTGTCTGCTGGGTTACCCGTATATGTGTTTTTGAGAATTTCCTGAGCTACTTTCAGACTAAGCATTAGCTGTTGGTTTTTCTGCATTTACTTCATTAGCTCGCACTCTCATGTTAACCTGTGTACCTGGAGTTTTCCTCTTTTGGTCTCTTACCATACTTTGTTCACTCAAGTTTCTTTAAAATTTTCAAGTTTGTCAAGTTGCTTTAAAATTTTCCCTTGAATTGTGGCAAAATTCAAAGATAGAGAGCCCTGTTCATTCCAAAATCAAAAGTCTTAGGTTTTTAACCTCAAGTCTGTTTTATAAGAGCTGATAGCATTCTTCACCCGTAGTGTATTCCAATCTTCCCTTTTTATCAGTGAATTTAGCATGTTGAATCCGAGAGGAACAGAAAATAATGAGACCAAATAAAACTAAACCCAACATACCAAAGCTCAAATATTCACACAGGTACTACTCATCAGAGTAGCCTCTCAAAGAGTCTGTGTACTTCCCTGTTGAAGTTGTCATTATTTTAAATATCTTTAGAACTCTTTCTTTGGAATTGCTGTCAAGAATTTGAAAAAAATACATTTTCCTACTTTATGAGATATTCTCTTTCCCCATGTCGTGTTTATATCCTCTTTCCCCATCCTCAGTTTGCTAAATTTAGCACTGGTCCTTCCCAGTCCCACAGTAGATTCGGCCCACAGCCTGGTGACACTTCATAGAGAGCCTTTGCTTGTGTTGGCTTTGAACTGAAAGTTCGAGGGAAAGAGATTGAGTTGCAGATTGGCACTTGGAGCCCTAGGAGAGCTTTGCTTTAAGCACTCCAGGAAGGGGACTAATTCTGAAATATACATGTGCACTGCAAGTACCCTAAATCCACTCCTCCTCTCCCCACCCCCCCTCAATTTTTTGCCTTGACCTACAGTAAGAAATATATTTTATATCATAATATTACACACTAATATAAATGTAATTGAAAGCAGTTACACGAAATAGTACTTAACACTGATTAAGACTCAAATAATTTCATGCACCAAAACGGGCTGCAGCCAGCAGTCTGAAAAACAGTGCCCTAGAAACGGGTATAATTGGCTAGATTGTAAATGTGAATCACTGGAAGTTGAATGACGTAAGTCAAGGATTGCTTGTAGCCAATCGAGTATTTGAAATAAGAGTAAAAATTACCTTTGATTTCTCCTCTCCTATTTAAATTACTTTCCTCTCCTTTATAATTACTTTCAAGATAATATGTGTCTAAACATTATTTGCAAGGGTGTTTTACTACTTGTTAGAAAAGCGACAGAGGTTTTGGGTAAGTAATCATCAGGTCTTAAAAGACTTGCTTTGGACTGAATAGTTTCTATGACCTACCAAAGAAAAATGACCAGTACCCTTCCTTTTTCTTCCTTTTATTACCTCTTTAAATTTGAAAGTTTGGGTGAGATGTATGTTTGAATAAAATTGAGTATAAGGAAAATCATTTCTTTTTAGAGTAAATTGTATATAACGTTTGGTCTGAATGAAAAATTTTAACCTTTAGCCCTTTCAAGTTTGTAATTTTTTACCTGTAAGCAGTCAGACGTCTTTGAATGTCTCCTTTAAAGATCTTCACTTGAGTGCTTCACTTGAGATGAATTTAGCATAATTGACTCTTGCACATTTCTTACCAATTCAATTTTCTGCTTTCCCAGCCTTTTTCTTCTAATGAACTGATTAGAAGGATGACCAAGCCAGAAGGAAAGATTTGGGGAGTTTAATAAAATGTACAACTATAAGGAAAAGAGATAATTGACCTTCTAACACAAAAGTCAGTTGACCTCTTGACTCCACAATGAGAGTAGATAGAAAAAATTTTAAAAGATAGCTATATATTTAAAAAGGAGTGCTTAAACTGATTTGCACAAGATACCAAGAAAAGGTCAAATTAATTTTCATCTCTTTTTAAAGGAGATACTGAAATGTGGCAAGCATTTTGGAAAGACTTCTATTAAAAAATGTTTTTTTTGAAAAAGCTGTTCCTTGAAAGGAACAAGCTTTTGTTTTCTGGGCAGTATAATTTTGAGAAGACCTCATTTACCCCTCAATGATGGACAAATATAATATACTGTTATTTAGTGTTAAATTTTCTTTTTTATATTTGTCTTTTCTATTTTAATTGAATATGGATTATTAATTGAGGTACTATCCTTTCTGTAGTTATAAGAAGGGAATTTTAAAGGGATTCCCTTCTTTTTTTAATGTCAGCATAACAGATTTTCATATCCAAATGAGTATTCTCTTGCTTGACAAAGTGTTCCAGTAGTCCTCTCGCTCCTGAAATTCTTGTTATAGACTTGCCTTGAGAGCTGTGATCTCTTTTTGAAGGTGAATTTGATATACAGAAATTGCTAAACGCCATTTACAGCCAAATTTATCTGATGGCATAAAGTTTGTAATCAGACTGGTTGAAACCATTTTGGACAGAAGTAGACAGTCATGTTATAATATTGAGATGTAATTTCTTGAATGGCTCTAAACTTAATCTTAGTACATTTCCAAAAGAGTTTTTCTAAAAAAATACTTTGAGTAGTCACAGAATTATTGAAATAAGTATATTGCCCCTAAGATGACTGTTTTAAAGGAATCATGCTGCTTTTGACTATTGGCATATTAGTTTAAGCAACAAAAACTTCATTTTATAACTATTTTATTACATCTGGTTTAGAAAGCTTTACTTTTCAATTTACTTTCTACTTTTACTTTTCAGACTTTATTTATAATTTACAATTTAACCGCTGATTTTATGTGTAACACAATTATGGTAACATTTAAAACAAATTTTATAGTGTTTATGTTGTGGCAGAATTCTCATAGAAATGGCTTTGATGGGATAGTTACAGTCTAATGGGTCTTAGGGAAACTTCATTGGAATCTATTTTCACTTTTTAAAAAGTGTCTGGAATTTATTTGATGATAGGTCTTATAATGCATTTTTTAGATAAAACAGTTGTATTTTTTGTTTTCTTTAATTAGGCTCCAGAGGCCCAGGGAATCCTCTAGACCATCAGATTACCAATGAAAGAGGAGAACCAAGCTGTGACAGGTTAACTGATCCTCACCGGGCACCTTCTGACACTGGGTCACTGTCACCTCCGTGGGAACAGGATCGTAGAATGATGATTCCTCCACCAGGTGTGGAAAGAGTATAGTTATTATTTATATTTGAAAGGCAACCAGTATGTGCAACATACAGGAATGGAAGGAAAGAGTACATGTGTGGCCTGTCTTAAGAAAAACCATGATACATTAATATTAGAATATAATAATAACACAAATTTCTAAGCCAAGTAATTAGGGGTAATTGTTCACATTATGGAAAACTTTGACCCCCTCTCCCTTTCCCACCATGGAATTTCTTTATTATTTTTTTGCTTATGGAAGTAATATATGTTGATTTTGGAAAATCTAAACAATACAGAAATGTGTAATTAGAAAAGTGAAAAAATCCCCCTTATCATCTTAGCATGCCCTTCCCAGAATTATATCTTTTAGGGATTTTTTTTTTGTATGCCTTCATAAACATAGGTATTCCTTCATCATTTCTGTGCAATTATACTATCCACTCTCTTTTAATTATCTTTTTTATCGAATAATATATTTTAGATATCTTGCCAAAATAAATGTGTTTACCGGAAGAATCACAGCAGAATATCCTGAAATAGGGCAATTGCTGTTCTCTTAATAGCCCCTCCCTACTTTCCCAAGGAAGATAGTTCAAATCATTTAGTTTGCTCACTTTTACTTATGCCCTGTATTTCAGGGACATTGTTATGTGAAGTTAGCTATGCCTGCTTTGTATAAATCAATTACATTTATTTATTTTTAATTTTTTTAATTTTTTTTAAGCTGAGCCATCCTGCCACCTGTTGGCAGCTCATTGGCAGCTCTGCTCAGGCCGGGCATCGAACTGCTGTTGCTCAGAGCTTGCACTCTTGAGCGAGCTCTTAGCCAACTGAGCCACTCGGCCGGCCTTAAATCAGTTACATTTAAAACAATATACTATTTCATATTTTTTCCTGAGAAGCTTGAGATGGAACAATATTGTGGTAAACTTGAATTCCATGAGTTAGCCAATACTGTGGTAGCATGTGTACTGTAAAGTGATGCTCCTTATACTGTGGCTGCTTCTGTGTTTGATATCACTAAAATAGCTTCATAAAGGTAGAAATTGTTGTTACTTTTGTTCACAACACTTAGAACAATGCCTTCTTGACCTTTAACATTCATTTAAAAGCTGTGATAAAAATAAAGAATAAAGTACAGCTCTTGTCCCAAGGGACTTTATTGTAAGATTTTTGCAGATATCATATCTCTACATCTGTGTAGAGGACCTTCCTTTAGAGAATGCAGAAGCTATAAGCACCAAGAGTCTTTGTCATATACTCTGTTTCCCTAAAGTATTATCTAGTGTATTGGTTCTCAAACTTGGCTTATCGTGAGAAATAACCTAGGGAATTTTAGGACAAATGCAGATATTGGGATCCTACCTCAGATCAGACCGTCTGAGCATGAACTCTGGAGGTGAGGCTTGTATTTCTGAAAAGCTTTGTAGAAAGTTCTGAGGAAAAGTTAAATTGAAAAACCACAAATCTGTCCATAGCCCTTACTATATGGAGAAGGGCACTGTGTCCAGAAATAGATTAGCTCGCAATCTTAAATAAAGGTTATTAACCTTTAAACTAAAGGTTAAAATAGTTAGCTAGGAGAATAGCTGGGACCAGAACTCAGAGATTAATGACTTTGCTATTATTGTTCGTTCATCAAACTAGGAAATATTTTACATGTCCTTTAAAAATTATCTGAAATATGTAATTTTTCAGATCTTTTGATATTGTCTCACAGATCCCTGATTCTCTTTTCATTTTGTTTTCAATTTTTTTCTCTTTCCTTGTTTGGTTGAATAACTTCTATTAATCTGTCTTCAAGTTTACTGACCCTTTTCTCTGTCATTTCCATTCTGCTATCAAGCCCATCCAGTAAAAGTTTTATTTTAAATAATATATTTTTCAGTTCTAGAATTTCCACTTGGTTCTTTTTTATTATAGTTTTGCTTTCTCTACTGAAATTTCTTATTTTTTTTTATTCATTATAAACTTTTTAAACCTCACTGAGCATAGTTTTATAATAGCTGCTATAAAGTTTTTGTAGGATCATTCTGACATCAGGGTCATTTGAGGATAGACTCTATTAATTGTTTTTTCCTTTAAGAATGGGTCACATTTTCCTGGTTCTTGCTATTTAGAGTAATTTTGGATTTAAAAACGTAGTGGAGATTCTGGATTCTACTATATTTCTCTGAAGAGGGTTATTGGTTTTGTTTTACAAGAGCAGGTTGGTCAAACTCAAAGTATAGAGTGTTTCTTTCCTGGATGGGCAGCAGTTCAAATATCAGTTCAGTTTTTAGCCTTAGCTGAAAACTGCTTAAGTTTGCCTCACACATATGTGGTTCATAGACTTGGGCAGAAAACTCAGAATTTTGAGCTCCACTTCTCTGACACTCTGGGCTCTGTCTTTTAGTTTTTGAATCCAGATAGTTCTGAGAGTTTTGACTGTTCTGTGTTGCATCTTGACCATGGTTTTCCTTCAAGCTAAACTATAAAAATGGAAAACTCACCTCATGATGGTCTCTTCTTCCAAGTTCCCACTCCTTTCCCAAATCTGCCTACCTTTTTCATGTTTCAGAGCCTTCAGATATTTTGTGTGTTTTGATCAGAGTTACTATATGTGGGAAGGTCAGTCTATTATGAATGTAATGGAACCTGGTATCCATCCATTACTTTAGAAGTTTAAGTAAAAATTCAAAATTGTGAGCTTCTAAATTGATATCTTCATAGAAGACTGTATCTATCATATTCATTTTACAGTGTGTCTCCAAATAATGTATCTGATCAATTTGGTTTGACATAGGAGTCACCTATGTCAATTGTAATCACAACGAAATAGGTAATTCTATAGACAAAGCAAAGGAATTTTAGATATTGAGAACTTTATGGTTGAGTTGCATTAAATGTCTCCTGAGGTTCTATTGGGTTGTCGGAAAAGTCATGATGCATGTTTGCGACAGATGGCACTAGTTCATTTTTGGAAGTGCTAGAGTCATTCACATCTATGTCATTACTATGTCATTTGACAGCTGACAATTCTAGCTTCATTCTAAAAAAAAAATTGAGCGATTTGGTTGAGTTTTGGAGATTTTACAACAAGTTGAAGATGGAAGACCAAACTGCATTTTTGCCGTATTTTATTGTTTTACTTCCATAAAGGGAAGAAGGCATGTCAAGCTTGTGAAAAGTTGCATGAAGTTTACTGTGACAATGCTTTACAAGAAGGTCAGTGCTAATGATGGTTCACGAAATTCCGTGCTGGTGATTTTGATCTCAATGACGCTCCTCGGTCAGGGAGGCCCGTCGAGGTTGATGACGACAAAATAAAGGCATTGATCAAATCAAACCCACATTACATGACACAAGAGATTGCAGAAACATTGAACATCCATTATTCAAGTGTTCACAACCAGTTGAAGAAGCTGGGATATGTAGGCAAGCTGATATTTGGGTTCCGCATGAACTCGAAGTTCATTTGACGGCGCATATGAACGTCTGCAGTATGCTCATGAAACGTGAGGAAAATGATCCTTTTTTGAAACGACTGATAACTGGTGATGAGAAGTGGATTGTTTACAACCATGTGGTGCACAAATGGTCTTGGTCCCGACGTGATGATTCTCCTCAAATGACATCGAAAGCAGACATTCATCAGAGGAAGGTTATGCTCTCAGTGTGGTGGGATTTTAAAGGTGTGTTTTTTGAGCTCCTACGAAGGAACCAAACAATCAATTTGAATGTGTACTGTCGGCAATTGGACAGTTTGAATGAATCCATCATCTAGAAACTTCCAGAGCTTGTTAATTGTAAAGGAGTTGTGTTCCATCGTGACAATGCGAGGCCACACACAAGTTTGATCACCCGTCAAAAATTATTGGAGCTTGGATGGGATGTGTTGCCACACCCACCATACTCGCCTGACCTTGTGCTGTAAGACTTCCACTTGTTTCACTCTCTTCAAAACTCCTTGCGTGGTATAACATTCAATTCAGACGAGGCTGTAAATCAGCACCTTGTTCAGTTTTTCGCAAATAAAGACAGGCCCTTCTATGAGCGAGTAATTATGAAGCTCACTGAAAAATGGCAAAAGGTTATCAGACAAAACGGGCAATATATCATTGATTGATCTTTGTTCTTTATATAAATAAATGACCTTTGAAAAACATAGACAAAAATATGTCATGACTTTTCCAACAACCCAATATGTTGAGTTGGAGTAATGTTGATAGATGCATTTAGCTATTAACCCTATTCTCACCAAGAGTAAATTTATAAAAACATTCTGTTTGCTCTTGGTGCATCTAAGTCTCATCTAAATATTCACTGAACAGGTTTCCCATTGGTTCTTTTATTTTGTATTACAATTAGTTAATTGGTAAATTAGAGCACTGAACAAGGAATGAGGAGACTTGGGTATTTATCTTATCATTACTATTTCTTGTGTAACGTTGAGCATTTCATTTTGCCTGTCAGTGTTTTCTCGGCTACAAAATACAGACTTATGTAAAATACAGGGGTAGTGATAATCTAAAGTATCCTCTCATCCCCTTTTTTCACTTTCAAAATAGCATTTTATTAGGTTGTCGGAAAAGTCATGATGTATTTTTTCTATGTTTTTTGTTGCAAAAATGCGTCATGACTTTTCTGACAACCCAATATTACATTTACAAGTTATTACATAATCAAAATCATCTTGCAATCTACAACTGTATAGGAATTTCAAAAATAGGAAAATTAGCAATAACCTTAAAGAAAAAAATAAAAACTACAATAGAACCATGGTCCCCTCCTGGCACATATAACACCTATTTTAGAAGTTGTTTTTGTAAGCATGAATTTGTTAGAAAAATATTCCAGTTTTGTTTCGCATAGGTCATGGCTGTTTTTCACTTTGCTTCAGGGTTCAATGATTTGCTAGATACAGGTGCATGTGCAGATGCGAAAACTCTTTCATCCTAGGAAATAGCCGTAGTTTAATGTTTATGGGCGAAGGCAAGTCTGTAGAAGTTAATAAAAACATTTTTTAAG